AATGAAGCTCTTCGATCAAGACGATAAATAAAAAGAAATGCCGTATATTCAGTTATTTTAGTCAGGTGAACATTGCCCCTCTGTGGTCATTCAAAATATAAATCCAAGAGCAGGCATGTGAATTTTGGCCTCATTTCAACTATAGAAAAATCACTGTGCATAACAAGTTATCTAGTCCATCCTCTTACTTCAGACCATACCTAAATCATCCTGAAGGATATTTTTTTAACATTCTTTTCAATGACTTTCAGGAAAGATTTCATTGCCTCCATTGGCACATATCTCACACATCTCATTGTTTGCTAAATATATATATGTTTGCAAAAGTTTGTATACATGTATATGGATATAGGTGTACATATGTATGGGTGGATATATTATATATGGAGATATGTATGTATATGCATGTATATATATGTATGTGTATGTGTATATATATATATATATATATATATATATATATGTATATATATGTTTGTATGCTTGGTAAACAGTGAAATGTATGCCAATGGAAACAATGAAATTTTTCCTGGTAGTCATTTAAAATAACTCCTTCAGGAGTTGATTTGGTATGGTTTGAAGCAGGTAGCAGGACTAGATATCCCTTTATGTGTGCCTCTATAATCTGGATATATATACATGTACACATATACATCTATGCATGTGTACATATACCTATATATAGATATGTATACACATGCATATATGCATGAATGTATGTATGCGTGTATATAGTATTATATCATAAACAGTTTTTCATTTATCCTTCCTCCACTCAACGTTTCACTACATATTATCACACCTCTAACAGCTCTCACTTTTCAGGGCATTCCACCAACATAAATATTACCCCTCATTCTTAGTCTTCAAGTAAAGGACTGACCCTGGCAGTGGACCATTAGTGGGGGAGCATTCAAGTACTCTTAGCAATATATGGAAACAGAAAGGGACTGTTACTATTCCACAAATATAAATTCCCCTAAATTTCTTCTTAGAAATCAAATTGCTTTCTGACATAAATGATATAAACTTACATTTAACTAGTGCTTGAGGCTTACCATGTATTTTCTTCACAACAGGCTGATATGGTAGGCAACACAAGTATTATCATCTTTATTACACATATGAGGTATCTAAGATTAAAGGTCACAGGTGGAATGATTTGCCCAAGGTGACACAGAGAGATTCAGTACCAGGAATCCAGACCCAGGTCTCACTTGCTTCCAGATTCAGCACTCTTTCTACCACACTAAAATATAGCTAGACACCAGACCCCATCTTTGCCTACTTTCTGTTACTTATAATTCATACAACTCAATGATCTGAATTAATGGGTATATCCATAATGACAGCAAACCAAGACAATGTACATATCACATGATGATTCAGATCATTTATTAAAATTTCCACGGAGTGAGGGTAGAGAGAGGTCTGGACCTGTAATTTCTTCAGTACGAGGATTTCCTGGTGTGCAAATTTCCTCCAAAGATGCACTTGGGCCGCTCATCTGTGACTAGACTATAAGTCTAAAAAAATTGCCTGGGGCACTAGGATGTTAAGTGACTTCTCATGGCCACATTTCCATTTAAATAATGGTGTCAGAACCAATGCTTTTGTGGGTTATTTTGAAATATATACTCAGGGTAGAAAATATCGTATCACACTATTACCTCAGTTGACAGTCTACTGACTTGGAATTTGTGATAGTTTAACTAACTAGCTCTATATGAAATTAAGCAAACAATGACTGTACCACAGGGTTGATGACTACTTTTAGGTTCTCCCTACTCTCTCAATACCTCTTGGCTGAGAGAGGGCTAATAATGTTTAATAAATAAAACAGGAAGGTGTAGAATCATAATTGAAATACAACTTACAAATATATGGCATTTTATAATTACAAAGTCATTACCACACATTTGCTCATTTGAGCCTCACAACCATGTGACTTTTAGAGCAAGAATTATTATACCTATTTTTACAGATGAAGAAACTTAAGCTCAGATAATGTAAAAAGGTAAGTGGCAAAGTCAAGGACTTGAACCTGGCCGGATGTTCCAGATGTAATACTCTGGGAGGATTAGTCCAGTACTCTTTTCCACTATAACACCCAGCAATTGAATAATCCAGCCTTTGAATAATAGCATATTAAGTATACAGGTAAAATTTGCGAAAATATGTTGCACCTTTAAAAGACCAACAAAATAAGGACCAAAAGAGCCAATAATTTTAGAAAAAGTTTTCTGAATTTCCTTTCCCCCCCAAAAAAAATTAGGATATTTTGCAAGCAATAATCAAAGTAAATCATCTTTTCCTGATGCCAGATTAGGCTTAATGCTAGAAATCTAGGTTAATGTAGATTGTTCATTTCCCTAGACCAAGACACAATTTTGAAAAACTGAGAAAAGCAGAGAGACCAAGGGAACAAATAGGAAATGGTGCAATAATAAGTAATTTTTATACATTTTATACATTTAAAATAACTGTGAGGTAGGCAATGCAAATAATTTTTTTTTTATTTATTTACTTACTTATTTTAGGCAATTGGGGTTAAGTGAACTTGCCCAGGGTCACACAGCTAGCAAGGGTCAAGTGCTTGGTCTGAGGCTGGATTTGAACTCAGGTCCTCCTGACTTCAGGGCTGCTGCCCTATCTGCTGCGCCACCTAGCTGCCCCTATAAATATTGTTTTTAGATGAAGCTAATGAAGCCCACAAAGATGAAGTGATGTGTCCATAGTCACATAATTGCATGGCATAGGGGACAGAGTGCTGGATTTGGAGTCAGGAAGATCTAGATTTTCATCTTTCCTCTGTGTCACCATTGGCAAATCACTTAACTGCTTAATGGTTCAGTTTCCTCATCTGAAAAAAAAAGCTGAAAAAAAACCTTCACAGAATAGTTTTGAGACTCAAAACAAATGACATACATCAACTACTTTCCAAACTTTAAAGTGCTATAAGGAATATCACATACACACATTACATTACACTTACATAAGCATCAGTCACTTTGCCTATGAAATGTGCACCATAGTTTTTAATAGCCACTGACCAGTGGCTATTAAATAATAGGTATCATTATGCCCCCCAATGTTTTTACCTTTTATATTGTATGACTGACAGCTTTCCCTTAGCCCAGCCCTGCCCAGTTCCCACACACTTGCTCCTTGTCCACTCCTAGACAGAACATGAGGGAAGCATGAAGTAACAGCCAAGCAAGTCACAGAACAAATAGAGAAAGCAGTAGTGAGTCATGAAATGACAGCAGCCCCTTTGGCTATGTACTTCATTTCAAACAACTTGATTCCTGCCATTGGACCTCAGGAGTAAAAGCAAGGAGATCTGAGAGGAAATTGCCAGGTCCAGTCTGGGCTGTCAGACATGTATTTAGTGCCTCATGTCATTGGGTTAGAACACAGTACTCCCAAGGTCAAAGGCTCAATCCTAGTCCATGCTAATTAAGTTCACTCTGTTCCATTTCCACAAATAGCATCTTTAGCCCTGGCCAGCCAGTCCTCAAATATGTGTTCTTGGTCACCAGGGAATTGGGTGTGAATGACTCATTAAATGCATAACACCACCACCAGTTTTTAATTCAAAGCATATGACATACAAATAGAGGATATCTTTGTACACCATGTACAACCCAGACTAGCTGAGGACCCCATCATGGTCTCTTTTGCCTTATTTTGAGATAAAGTACAAAGGTCAGTGTCAAGTTGGCTAGGTTCCTAACCACCCCTTGCTAACATCCTTAAGTGAAGCGATTCGTTAAAGACAATGTAGTGCTGGCTGCAGCCTTGCTTTATTGGAGGACACAAGTTCTGTGTATTGTTCCAAAGTTTGTTTTAGAAACTATGCCATGTAAATATTTATTTGGTGATTTTGAACACTGTGACAACATAGCCATCCCTCAGCGAGGAATCCTGGAATGATAATCTCCTCATTCTGCTCAGTTAAGGAAGGGCCTGAGGAGCTCAGCTGTGCCCCTTTGAAATTCACTGTCGGATCAGGATTTCTGACAGATGGAATAAGGCCAGCAGCTATTGGAGCCAACAAACCCTAATCTAGGAGAGGGAAATTTCCTTTGGCCTTACGAATCCCCCTTTTGAAGCAGAAATAAAGGTGAAAATAAATGAAAAAGAATCAAAGCCACTTAAGCCTTATCTAAATCTTTTCCACTTGGGCATTCATCTAAGTTAAGCAGCCAAAGGAGACTTCCTAGTCACCAGTCACTTATAAATATTATCCTCTTACAGGGTTAAGGATGAGAAATCTCGATGCCGAGAAAAATAAGGATTCCACAGAAAAGTATCCCCTCCATTCTCTTCTCCCTGTTACCCCTACCTACTCCTATTTCTTTAGGCTTAGGTAATCATTTTAAAAATAACGATTTGCCATTTCTTTATGTCATCTGAGGATACATTTTTCTGGCTTTCTCACATTCGCCCCCCCTCTTTCTTGAAAAAAAGTTACCACTACTGCTGATTTTTAAGTGGCATCCAAGCAACAGTCATATGCCACCACCCCGCAACCCCTGATGGAAACCTTAGTTTAAAAAAAAATCATCCTTTGAGATGAGTCTTCGTGTAACGAGTGAAGGAATAGATGATCTCTGGGAATCACTGACAAACAGCTATCCACAGAAGAAGGAAAATGAGACTTGACTTAGAGTGACTAAAATCTTCCATCTCAATGAGCAGGTGAATGAGAGAAGCAGAGGCACTGAACCTGGTAGGGAAAGAGACAAGGCAGAGGGTGGGTTGCTATGGTAGGTAGATGAAAGACTCTCAGCAGACTAGGTTGTAGTGATAGGAAGGGGGTGGGGGAGGAGGGGTGACAGTGACCTCTAAACCATGTCTATTCCTCATGCTTCTTGTGCTGCAGTGGTGTGTTTTTCTCCCCAGTTGAAGACATTGAATCCTGCATTTTGATGTTAATTCCTGTTACTGCCAACAATTACTGCATCTTCTTATTTAACTTATGTCTTCTTTCCAAGCGAGAATATCCAGGTTTCGGTTGGATCTATTTTAAGGTGAATTAATTAACCAGCCTAATAATACATTCAAATGTTTCTTTTTTTGTTATTATTAATTTTACTGTAAAATAGTTACAGAGAATGTGGTGCAGGATCCTTAGTAAACCACCTTGTCTCTTGGATTTGTTTGCTTCCTCTTTTTTTTTTTTTCCCCTAATTCATTCCTGGGCTAGGGGAACCTGCCTCCAGATTACCGGATAAGTTTAATCGACATCGGCCTTGTGATTGAATACCTGATGGGAGGAGCTTATCGCTGCAACTATACTCGAAAACGGTTCCGGACTCTCTACCACAATCTGTTTGGACCCAAGAGGGTGAGGCGATTAACTCTCTTCTGTTCTATATGTAATGTGATTAGGACCCTTTACATTCCCCAAGATGTAAAGGATTTTTCTTCCCTTGCTCCCAAAAGTTACCAGGCTGAAGGGGAACAGTTATCTCACTCCTGAACTTCTTGGCCACTCACCCAAAGGAAACAATGGATACAAATCAGACAGAGTCCAAACAGATTGTTAGTGTGAGACAAATTAGTATCCAACTACAAGCCTACATGAAATGGGCTAAAGAAGTGTAGCCAAGACTTTTGCACACTAGTCACAAATTTCGAAATCAACTTACCTGTCTTGCTGCTAGTTGAAGAAAGGGAATTGTTATAGGAGCTGAGCATGTATGCATGCATGTGTGAGTGTGCCTGTACCTCTGAGAATGAATGTGAGCTGGTCAGACTATTGATGTGGAGAGAACATATTTATGTTTCATAAGCTAACAAAATATGGAGGTTAGGATGGATGTTGAGGACCTCACCATTTATTAAAATTCTATTCCAGGGTATACTAAATTATTTTGAGATGCTTAGAGCATCCATGGACCCATGGAAGCTGGCTTCAAATTCTGTTTCTCCTACTGTCAAATTCTATTCAAAATATGTGGTTCTCACTATTTTAACCCATACCCTTCCAGTAGAAATACTAGAAAAAATATTAAATTTGATGCCAGAAGTTCAACATGAGTTTGAACTCCAACTCTGCCACTAAAGAATGAGCTGTGTGACTTTGGACAGGTCATTTAATCTCTTTGGGCCCCAGTTTTCTTATTTACAAAACAAGAGGTTGGAGTATATACCTAAAGTCCCTTCCAATTCCAAAATCCTATGATATTGCTTCATTGTTTCAGTCATATCTGAATCTTATAACCCCATTTGGGGTTTTCTTGGCAAAGATACTAGAGTGGTCTGCCATTTCCTTCTCCAGCTCATTTTACAGATGAGGAAACTGAGGCAAACAGGGTGAAGTGACTTGCCCAGGGTCACACAGCTAATAAGTGTCTGAGGGAGAATTGGAACTCAGGAAGATGAATCTTCCTGACTCCATGCCAGTACTCTCTCAACTTTGCTGCCCCAAATCCTATGATTTCCATGTAAAAGGATGTCACTGTGCATTACGTGAGTTTACGCACCTCCTTCTCTCCTGTCATGAAGTGGTAACTTTCTCTGACTGTGCTTTCTTATATATCAGAAAAGAGTATCTATGCCTATTTGGCATCCATGTATTCCAATGAAAAATGAAATATGTGATAAATATCTAGATTTCAGTATAAATAAAACGACATTTGGGGAAAGCAGGAATGTAATTGATATTCCTGACGAAGGCAAGAATGTGGAAGCTACTTATTTCAGCTAGTTTTTGTCCAGCTCTAGTTTCATTTACATGCCAATCAAAGAGGATCTTCAATTGAAGTCAGCCTCATCACCCCAGCTTTCTACATAGTTTCTATGTTTTATTTTTTATATCAGAGTCCCAAAAATGGATTTTAGGAACACAGCCTCATAATTAAGCATTGTGTGGAAGTTAGAAGGAATTTTTTAGCCTGAAATCAGATAAGCAACAAAGGTAAACAAAAAGAAGTGATTTAATCTTAGCCTAAAGAGTTTTGCTGGCTTTTGTGTTTTTTTGGTTTGGTTTTGTTTTTGTAACTCTCTGGTCATGTGTGATCCTAATTCTAAGATCCCAAAAAACTCACTTGAGTGACATTATTTGTGACTCACTGATTGTGAGCCTGCCTTCCCCAAACCCATTCCAATGCCTCCGCTCAAACAGAACAGCACACAGGGGCAATGTAGAAAACTGTCTAGATGAGACTAACATTGTTCCCAAGGCTCTCATAGATTGGTATGCAAATGAGCTAGAGGCCAGAACAAAAGCTAGAGGAAGGTACACATTTCTGCCTTTATTCTGCCCATCTGCTTTACATTATCTTTATCAAACTTCCAGGTGGAATTTATCAGATTATAGAAATACCTGAAAAGTTGGGTTCACAATTTTACTGCTCATATAAATGTTTGGTGGTTATTAATACTGTAAAAATTAAGTGGTAGGAATAAGGGAAGTTATGACCCAGAAACCACAACTCTATAGACTGTCTTTGGAGAGGAAATGAAGTAATATTCAGTACCCACCATCACCAGTGTTCTGAGCTTCACAAAATAAACTTCAGATATCTTCGGTAGCTTTACTTCTGCTAGAATCTTTACAAATACATCATTATATTCTCTAATAATTATTTAGCGACAGAGGACTATGACATTTGGTACCATATAATTATTTCATATACTTATTTTAGCTATTGTAAGATTTTTTTCATTATTTCTATGGGAAAAAAATGTAAGATATTTTTCAACTCTTTCTTTTGACAGCCTAAAGCCTTGAAACTTCTAGGAATGGAGGTAAGTATCTATTTAAAATATTAACACCTAGAATAGTGGTGATGATGATGATGATGATAAATAGCATTTAGATAATGCTTTAAGGTTTCCAAAGCACTTTATGTTATATATTAACTCATTTGGTTCTCATAACAACCCTATGAGGCAAATGAGATTATTTTCCCTATTTTACAGATGGGGAAATAGATACCTAGACATTAAGCAGGATCACAGTTAATAAGTGTTTAAGGTGAGATTTAAACTATACTCTATCCACTGCACCACCCACCTGCCTAACAAAAATAATAATAATTGGGGCAACAACATTTAAATAGCTGGGACACTGAGCCTGGAGTCAGGAAGATTCATCTTTCTGAGTTCAAATCCAGCCTCAGACACTTACCAGCTGAGTGATCCTGGGCAAGTCAATTAACCCTATTTACCTCAGTTTCCTCAACTATAAAATGAGCTGGAGAAGGAAATGGCAAACCCCATCTTTTCCAGAAAACCTCAAACAGGGTCATGAATAGTCAGACATTACTGAAAGGCAACCAAACAATAATTTATGTAGTTTAATGTTAAAGGTTTGCAAAGTGCTTTACATGTATTATCTCCTTTGATCCTCAAAACAATCCCATGGGTTCATACTATTTTCCATTTTTATATTAAGTTGATTATAATGATCATTGGCTAGAGAAACAGAAACGATGTTTTCATAAAGGTATCCTATAGACTACCTAGCCAGAAGGAAACACATGAGAAGTTCCAGAAATATCACAAACCCAACAGAGAGGCACAATATCCATCAATCACTCGGCAGGCTTTTTATTAAACACTTACTTGAGGAATTTCAACCACCTAGATATCTGCTAGGATCCTCTCTGTGTGCAAAGCACAGCAGTTACTAGATATATAGAGATAGATGGATATAGATGATATGGATAAGATATAGATACATATATTTATGAATATTCAGCTCCAGTCTTGATCTGCTAAAGCCTTGAAATGATCATGGTCATCAACTTAATATAAAAAAGGAAAATAGGGGGCAGCTAGGTGGCGCACTGGATAGAGCACCAATCTTCGAATCAAGAGGACCCGAGTTCAAATCTGGACCTCAAACACATAATACTAGCTGTGTGACTCTGGGCAAATCACTTAACCCCAATTGCTTCAAAAAAAAGAAAATAGTATGAACTCAAAAGAGCTGTTTTGAGGATCAAATAAGATTATATATACATTATATATATATATATATATATACACACACACACATATATATACACACACACATATATACACATATATACATAAATATATACACATATATACATATATATATAAATGTATATACACATATATTTATAAAGCACAATATACAAACATTAAAGCACAATTTAAATGCTAGCCATTGTTGTTCTATCAGAACAAGGGTAAGAAGCATAGAGGGAGCTGAACGTGACTGACAAACAAGAAGCAACCTGTTGCCCACCCCTAGGTAGCACAGTGGAGAGAGAGAGAGAGTCCTGGACTTGGAATTAGAGCTGAGTTCAAATCCTCTCTCGGACACTAACAGCTAACACACTACCTAGAGTGACCCTGGGCACATGGGGTTAATAATAGCATCTATCTCACAAAGTTGTTGTGAGGATAAATGAGTTACCACATATAAAATGTTTTGCAAACTTAAAAGCATTATGTAAATGCTAGCTATTATTAATGAAGAAAGAATGACAGGAACCTTAGCAAGAACTGACTCCTCCATCTTAGAGTTCCTGACGTATGAAAAGCTGCCATTGTTTGACATGTTCCCTAGAGAGAAGATTCAAAGAGTTGTGTGTTTGTTTGTTTGTTTGTTTTAAAGCCTAGGCAGGTGTCCAAGGAGTAAAAGCTCTAGGGAAAAGTCCACCAAAAGTGGCTTGGAAGTTCTCCACAATGAAATGCTGATGTTGCAACACAAATTTTTCCAATAAAGAAGAAAAATGGAAGAGTTTTTGTTTGTTTGTTGTTTTAGGCAATTAGGGTTAAGTGACTTACCCAGGGTCATACAACTATTAAGTGTCTGAGGCCAGATTTTAATTCAGATCCTCCCGATTCCAGGGCCAGTGCTCTATCCACCACACCCCCTAGCTACCCTCCCCAAAAGAGAGTTTTCTGACGAGACTGAAGTGCATATCATGAGAAAACTAACTAAATTTGAGTTTTAAAAGACATAAGAGGCAGTACTTGAGGATGGACAGAAAGGAGTGGCAAGCTTCTGGAACACCAAAGGTCAGAGTGAGCTGAAGCTAATGCTGAATGAATGCTAACTACAATTTTTAAAAAGTGGGAGGGGATTTTTAGCAACATTGGGCATGAAATGAAGCTTAATGAAGGCATAAGACTACTGCCCCCAAGTGGATGATTAAGAGAACACAGAACTACTTGCCTAGTTTTCTCTACCAAGGAGAATGATCTTAGTTCCAGCTCAGAATAAAAATGGCTAACACGGAATCAAAACCAAAGATAAGTGAGGAAGATGATAAGAAAGCACCTGTTTGCCTTCAATGAATTTAATAGTTCTGAACTATGCCATTCTTGGCTCCTGTACTATTTAGGATTTTTATCAGTGATTTGATAAAGGAATAGATTTTATGCTTATCAAATTTACGGCTAATCCAAAGTTAGGAGAAAGAGCTACCATGTTGGTTAATAAAGACAGGATCCAAAAATATCTCAGCTTGGTGGATAGAGCACCAGCCCTGGATTCAGGAGGACCTGAGTTCAAATCTGGCCTCAGACACATAACACTTACTAGCTGTGTGACCCTGGGCAAGTCACTTAACCCTATTGCCTAGCCCCCCCAAAAAAAAAAAATCTCAGCAGTCTAAAATGTTAATCTAAATTGGTGAAATTTAATAAGGGATATATGTAAAGACATAAACGTAAGTTTAAAAAATCAACTGTACAAGTAGGTAAATTATAGTAGAGTCACAACAGGTCAATAATCCACGTGGAAAAGATCTGGGTATTTCCATGGATTGCATGTTCAATATTAATCAGTACTAACTAACATTAAAGTCAAAGGAGGGAAAGTACTTAGGCTACATTCATAGAAGCATTGGGTTCAGGACTAGGAAAGTGATAGCCCTGCTGTATGCTAGGATCACCAGAGTACTGTATTAGTTCTGGGCATCACATTTTAGGGAGGACATCAACCAACTCTAGAGGAGGGTAAGCAGGACAGTAGGGGCCCTTAAGACCTTGTGAGCACTGGTTGAAAGCACTAAAAATGTTTATCCTAGAAAAGAGAAGACAAGAGGAACGTGATTGCAGTACTCAAATACTTGAATGGCTGACATATAGAAGAGGGATTTGTCCCCTTAGGAGCAATGGATGGCATTTGTAGAGGTCTCTGTAAGGAAAGATTTTCTCAACGTTATTGCTGACTGAAAGGAGAAGGGGGTGCCTTGGGAGAGTTCATATCACTGGAGGTTTTCAGGTATCGGATAGAAAATTCCTAGTCAAAGATGTTGCAGAGCAGAAGTGACAAATTTGCACCAGCAACACTCCCAAATGAGGACCAACCAGATTAAAACATAATTGGGAAATGTCGAACAAAATTTAAAAAAGTAATGCAACATAGATAATGTTAATTTGTGGTTTTCTAAGTCAATATGAGGCCAGAAAAGATCCGTTTCTATTTGAGTTTGACAGCACAGTTGTAGAGGGCATTCTTATGGAAGTCTTCATTGGTCCAGATGACTTTCATGGTTTCTTCTAACTCTTGGATTCTGTGATATACAAATTCCAGTGAGTGAAATAGCCTTGGAGACACCTGGGAAAAGTACAAGGCCCAAAGCCAAATATATTTCAGTTATGCAGTTAGTAGGCATTTCATTTTACTTTATCTGTTTATATGGACATTTGAATATAAGCAAGACAAAGAATAGTTTGTATGTATTTTAATTGATAGGCTATAGCTGTCCATATGCATTATAAATAACTATCACTGAAAAACAACAGAAAAAAATAGAATCTTTAGAAAGATCTCATCGTAATTTAGTCTTATATAAATTATATAAAATAAAAATTTAAGACAATAATAAAGTTCAATACAGATACTTGGAATTGGAAAGAATCTTTGGATTGAGAATAGTGCAGTATCGGGGTTTTCTGTTCAGTGAGGATAGAGCTTATTTATTTACATTCAATCAAGCATATAACATGGGACTATTAATTTACTAATTAAAATATGCTTTAAAAGTATGTTTAGGTTGGTGGTGCTCTGTGGGTAGAAGAAAGCTAGAGTTAAGGTAAAAAGTAACAGAATATTATACAGTCAAAGAGTAGAAAACAAATGCAATTGGATGACTAATAGAAGATTTAATTAAGTCCAGTGGAATCAGACAACAGAAAACAAAAACATAGAATCAAAAAGGAAGAGAGAGAATGTTCCTTATGATTGACATAGAGAAAAAAGAAGAGAGGAGGATTAAATGATGTGATATTGACAGGGTTTTCAAACATAAGAAGTTGAAGCAGGGAGAAAATCACATTCCTAAATAGTACTATTCCTCCCCACAACCACCACCACCCTCCAAAAAAATCCAGAACGAAATTCAGTTTACTATTATCTCAAACCCCATTTTATTTCTCTTGATTTATAGGATGATGTTCCCCTGAGAAGAGGAAGAAAGACCACCAAAAAGCGAGAAGAAGAGGTGGACATTGATTTGGATGACCCTGAGATCAACCACTTCCCTTTCCCTTTCCACGAACTCATGGTATGGGCTGTCCTGATGAAGCGGCAAAAGATGGCCTTATTCTTCTGGCAGCATGGGGAAGAGGCCATGGCCAAAGCACTGGTAGCCTGTAAGCTATGCAAAGCTATGGCTCATGAGGCATCAGAAAATGATATGGTGGATGACATCTCCCAGGAGCTGAACCACAACTCCAGGTAGGCTTGTATAGGTATGAGGAGGGAGGAAAGGATGGCTCTAAAAGAGTAGATCTATTCAGGTTGCCCAAAGTAGGCTTCACTTGAGTTGGTTTCAACTACCAAATCTCTGTGCCAAAGAAGTGTAATTACGGAAGGTGAATTTTTAGGGGCCAGCCACACCAACCTAGCCCAGAGAAAATCTGAGGAATAGGAGACAAAGCACCACAAGAAGAACAGATAGCTGATGGTAAAAATATATTCCTCGTGCATGCAATTACTAGGAATGCAAATGACAAACACAAATGGATTCTTTAGTAAGATATTCATTTTTTACCTTATGCTAAGTTTTCCACTATGGCCCAAACTGGATGGCTGAGTCATCCCTTGGCGTCCAAAATTCAATTCATTTCAAACAACTTTTAGTAAGCACTTACCACATACACGGTACTGTGCTAAGCACTGAAGATACAAAGACAAAGCAAAAACCAGTCCTTGCTTTCCAGCACCTTACCTTCTACTAAGGGGGGGATACCCTATGAAAGCAGACAAATAAATGCAATCTAATTTGAAGAAGGAGAGTGAATGAATCACAAAAGGCCTCCCATAGAAAGTAACACATGAGTTGAGCCTTGAAGGGGGCTAAGGATCCTGAGAAGCAGAGGGTAAGGAGGGAATCTATTCCAAACATTCAGGACATGGCTGCAGGACAAGGAATGTCAAAATCCAAGGAAAAGAAAGCAAGCCATTTTTCTGGAACTGATAATGTGTAAAGAAAAATAATATAAAATAAGTCTGGAGAAGTAGGCTGGACCCAGATGGTAAAATGCTTTAAATGTCAAGCTCAGGGGTTTATATTTTAAAATAGGGAACACTGTAAATTTTTGAACAGGGGATCACTCCCCTATGGTCAGACACCTGTGTTTTAGGAAAATTATTTGGGAATTGTATAGATCAGAGCTGTTGCAACACTCCCAAATCCCACTGAACTATATTAAAATTAATTGGGAAATATTTAGCAAAGTAAAAATAGAATAGAATAGAATGTCAATATGTGGTTTTTTTAAGACAACATATGGCCCATAGGGATCCTTAGATGAGGGTTAGTGGGTCTCGTTTCTATTTCAGTTTGACACCACTGGATTAGAAACAAGACCTCCACTGGTGTGGAGGACAGATTAAACAGAGACGAGATTAGAAACAGTCTAAATAGGGGACTATTGTGGTAGTCTAGCCAATAGCTGATGAGGACCTATTGAGTAGAGTGAGTAGACAGAAGAAGATAGATGGAAGATGTCATAGTGGAAGAATTGATAAGGCCTGGCAGCTATTTGGATACAAATGATAAAGAGTCAAGGATCACTCCAAAGTTATGTTACGGTGGTACCTTTTTTAAAAATGGGGAAGTCTAGAGGAGGAACAATTTTAGGGGAGAAGATAGTTATTTCTGCTTTGGATATGTTGTTTCAAATGCCTTCAGGAGACCTAAACGAAGGCATCTTAATTGGCATTTGTATGACTTGAGCTCAGGAAAGAAATTAGAGCTGGATATAACATATTTGGGAACCATCTTTAGAGATCATTCAACCCAAAGAAGCTAATGAGACCACCAAAAGTAGCTATGGGGAGAGAAGAACATACAGGGCAAAAGCCTTGGGCAAACACCCATATTTTGGTGAAGTGGAACCCAGACCCAACAAAGGAGACTAGAGTGATAAGATAAATAAGAGAACCATGGTAGAGAGAGCTATTCATAAAGCCAAGGGAAGAAAGAGTATCCAGGAAAAAAGGGGTAGTTAACTCCTTTCCTTAAATTTATCTGTATAATAATAATCATCCTTAAATAATAATAGTAACAATATTGTATAATAATATATAATGATGTATATTACATATAATAATTTATATTATTAATATATAATAATATTGTTTGTATTATATATAATAATGTATAATAGTATGTAGTATGATAATGTATAATAATGCATAATGTATATGTATATTACATATAATATATAAATAATATATAACAATACATTCTATATAATAATATATTCTAACATAAATATATACATAATATATAATATGAAAAATGATAATCCTTAAAATTCCTTAAAAGAAAGGTCAAAAAGAGAGGGATTTGTTTCCAACTTAGACCATTACCTGTTTACACAATAAGTTTAAAAGACCGAGACCGATCACTTTTTGAAGATTTTATAACTAAAAATCATGATCTGTTAACAGATGACCCCGAAGACCCTTGTATCTCCTTGATTCTATGAATATATTAAAGTATAAAAGAGAACTAAGTATCGAGTCCAGGTTAATTTTAGCAAATAAGTGAAGAAAAGAAAAGTGGCAGTAGAACAATCCCTAGTGCTGTTCTAACCATAATGTTCCTTTTTTAAGAAAAAATAGATTTTTATTGATATTCTTTATTTTTGCATAACCTGGATTTCCTTCCCTCTTATAATAATTTTTAAAAGAAAGAAAAATATGAGGAGACAAAAAACTAATCAACACTTTGAAATATTCTGATATGCAGCATTCCACACCCTGACTTCTACCAAGCAGGGAGGGAGAATCTTCTCATCCCTCTTATTTAGAGCCAACCTTGTTCTATAATTTTATAGCATTCCATTTCAATTTGCTGTGGTTGTTGATCTCATTTATATTGTTGTAATCATTCTACATGTGGTTTTCTTGACTCTGCTTACTTCACTTGAATTAGTTCATGTGAATTTTCTGACACGTCTCTATATTCATCATGCTTATTTTTTTTACAACACAATAACATTTCATTACATTCATGTACAATCTATTTAGCTGCTCTTCAGTCCACGGGGAATCTACTTGGTTGTTGCTATCAATATTGTGGTGTATATGGAACTTTTATTTTTGTTAATATGCTTTTGGGTCAAAGGGTAGGTATATTTTAGTCATTTTTCTTTGCATAATTCCAAACTGCTTTCCAGAATGGTCATACCAATTCACAAGTTAACCAACATTATCTTTTGACCTAGTGATACAATCAGAGCAGTTAATAACTCCCATTCTCTGCCACTCACATAGAGACAATGTGATATAGTGGATAGAATGCTGGGCTTGGAGACAGGAAGACCAGAGCTTAAATCCCAGCTATGACATTTATTAACTGTATAACCCTGGGCAAGTCATATAACTTCTCTAAGCCTCACTTCCCTCACCAATAAAATAAGGAAATTGAACTAGATGTCCTTTAAAGCCTCTTCCAGCTCTAAATCTGACACCTTATCTGATGTGGGGCCACAAGGGGAGGTTTCAATGAAAGTTGGAATTAGAAGGGATCCGGAATGAGTCTACCACCAAACTCTTAACTCTGTTGTTGTTGTTGTTGTTTTAAATAAGCATCATTTAATGACTTCTAACTGCAAAAAAAAAAAAGAAAGGCAATTATTTGGAGACTAGAGAAGCTTCAATTCTGCCATTATAAGCAGAAAATAAACATGGTTGTCGGTAAGATAGCTGAAAAGGTTTTGAGAAATGAGAAAAAAAGATACTAAAATTAAAGGTGAAGCAGGATAGGTTGCCCAGGTGGTTGCCATTAGCCACTTTTTTTAAAAAAAAACTGTTGTTCTTTTCTTTTTAATACATCACTCTACTTCCCTCTCAGTCAATAAATATTAATTAAGCATCTATTATGTGTCAAGCACTGAGGATGCCCAATGAAGGCAAAAGACCACAATCTAATGAGAGAAGCAAAAGGCAAACCATGTACAAACAAGCTACATACAGGATAAATTGGAAATAGCTAACAAAGGAAAAGTACTAGAATTGAGAAAAAGCCTTCCAGGGATGAGGGACAACCAGTGAAAATTCCTATAATCAGGAGATAGAATGTCTTGATTGAGGAACAGCAAAGAGGTAGGTGTCACTGAATTGATGGGAAGGCACAGGGTGGTAATAAGAGTGACCCCCAATAGACTCCCTCAAGCAAAACAATTCAATATCTTGCCTATGTATAAAAATATATGTCTCATTCCACATCTCTACTACCTCAAGGATATGCTTCACCATCAGTTTTCTAAAGGCATGACTGCTCACTGCATTGATCAGTCACTATCCAGTTCTTCCTAGGTTCCCCTTCTTTAAAGCCTGCCTACCAACTGCCTGTCAGGTAGGATGAGGGTCACTACCACTAATAATTTGCCCAATGAAACAGTGGCAAGAGAAACAATATACCCCCTGCTTCTCCTAAACTCCCCTCCTTCTTATCACATCATGGTTAATATGTATGCATCCTCTATCAGACTAGATTTCTCACCAGAACACTATCCTGCCTGCTGGAAGCCTGGCATCAGGCACCATAGTCCTCTGCCTCTTTTAGTTCTAAACACAGAAGCTGGTCCCTTAATATGCAAATGGATAGGTATGAAGGATGGCTGGGTCAAGCCCCAGCGTGAAGATTTAGAGAAGTATCCCAGGAGCTGGCTGCTTAGGCAAATTTCTTGGATCTATTCATAAGGGCCAGCAAAGTCTTCAGAGCAAAGCAGGATTTGAAGATTTACAGCTTTACCTCATTTTGGTTAGTCTAATCTTTGTAAGAAAAGGTCTTTTTTTTTTTTATCTCAGCAGCCTTCCAGACCCCTTGACTCTGTTCTTTGTCCAATCTCAGAGTGTAGCCACAGCAGCATGAAAAGGGAACCCTATAGGCTGAAAACATTTGAAGTTTTTCTAACTTCAGGAAAAGAACACCACCATTCCATCAAAGGGAAGAATGAGAACTGAAGCCAAAACCCAAGGTTAATCTCAACCAAGTCCCCAGTTCCCAATTGTAAAGCTTAAGTATAAGGGTCAAGCTTGTTCCTCCATTCTGCTCCTGACTATTCACAAATAAATGTTTCTCGGGTTGCTCTGCCTCAGGGTCAAGGCTATGAGCCAAGTCTCATAATAAACTACCAATCTACAAGTGAATTTTTCCCCAAGAAAAGCTCCATTCCTAAGCACATGCAAACTAATAGGGCCCTGCAATAGTAACCTGCCCTTCTGGGAAATACATATGAGGGGTTAGTCTTGCTCTGAGTCAGTGACCTTGGGTATGACCCATGAAAAACACCCAGCCAGAGGAGAACAGGTGGGTCATCCATAGCTTCTGGGATAGGGTCCAATGATGCTGGAAGTAGTCCCACTGCAACTACAATCCAGGCTTCCTGTCAAAAAACTAGATGCTTCAATCCACTGAGCAGTAGGTATATGGAAATAATAATTAGCAACAGGTGGGACATATCTGCTGGTTCCTATAATCCCTGACCTGAGATGACTGGGCATCACCCCTCCCCTAGTTTGTGGTGATTGAGTGATTATTGTTCCAAACTCCCTATGCTTTATTACTCTCAGCCAAACTTGGATAGGTGGTCTCTACTTCCACAACAGCTTGATGATGGGCTAACAACAGTGTAGGGGGTACATAAACCTGCCAAACTGAGTGTCCAACAATGCCACATGTGAGGTGTCAGCCCATTACTACTAACACTGCCAATCTAACCATGTTTCTGGATAGTTGATGCAAAAATTATTTTTAAAGTCAAACTAATAGCTCAGGTAGGAGACACTGAAGCAGAGTTAACAATAGAGTAGGGGAAAGGTCAGTCACCTGATTCAGAGCTAGAAAATCTGTATTCAAATATCGGCTCTACCATTTAGTACCTGAATGTCCTGGGGCAAGTAGCCTGACCTCCCTCAGCTTTAATTCCCTCATGTGTAAAATGAGTTTTACTATCCGTAAAATTAAATGGTCTTTAATGTGCTTTTTAGCTCCAGAATCCCATATCCTCTGGAGGGAAAAATTTTTTTCAACTAAAAGGAGAAAGGATAAAGTAGCCTTGTCTCAAATTATCCTCTTTCTGCCTCAATACCTAGTTTACATGTTGTTCCCACATTAGACTTATGAGATTTCCATCTTTTTGTTGTTTTTGCTTTTTAGGCAATTGGGGTTAAGTGACTTGCCCAGGGTCACACAGCTAGGAAATGTCAAGTGTTTGGTCTGAGGCTGGATTTGAACTCAGATCCTCCTGACTTCAGGGCCGGTGCTCTATCCACTGCGCCACCTAGCTGCCGCCACATTAGACTGTGAGAGCAAGGACTGTCCTTTGCCTTTCTTTGTAACCCCAAGCGCATAGCACAGTGCCTGACTATATAGTGGTAATTAATAAATGTTTTCTGACTGACATATGGCTCACAGTTATATAGTACTTTTAAAGCATGTTAAGTTCTGGTAATACAAAGAAAGGCAAAAACAGTTGCCCTGTTCTTTGCCCTCAACGAAGAATTCACATTCTAATGGGAAAGACTACATGCAAACAACTATGTATGTATATACGGTAAATCAGAGGTAGTCTCAGTGGGAAGACATACTGAGGGGAGACGGGCAACTGGAGAAGACTTCCTGCAGAAGGTAAAATTTGAGCAGAGTGTTGAAAGAAGCCAGTAGGATGAGGTGAAGAAGGAAGACATTCCAAGCATGGGAGACTTCCAGTAAAAACCATAAAAGTCAAAAGATGGGAGTCTTAGGTGTAAAGAACAAGAAGCCCAATGTCATTGGATTCTAGCATATATATAGAAGGAAGTTAAAGCATAAGAAGACTAGAAAGGTATGAAGGGGCCAAGTTGTGAAAGGCTTTAAAAGATAAACATTTTTTTTTAATCCTGGAGGAAATAGAGAGCCATTGGAGTCTGAGTAAGGGAGTCACATGGTTAGACCTACGCTTTAGGAAGATCACTCTGACAGCTGAGCGGAAGATGGAATGGAGTCAGGAGATCAGCAGGAAGGCTATCGTAATAGTTCAGGCATGAGGTAATGAGAACCTTCACCAGTGTTAGAGGAGAGGACATATTCTAGAGATGTTGCAAAGGTAGAAATGATAGGTCTTTGCGCACATGCACACTCCTCATTTGATCCTCAAAATACTATGAGTAGATGCTATTATCCCATTTTATAGAGGGGAAAACTGAGGCCGAAAGAGAAGTTAAATAACTTGCCAGAGATCACACAGCTGGCAAGTATCTGAGTGAAGATTTGAACTCCAAGTCTAAGTCCCTATCTCCTTCATCCTCGATGTCTTTCCCATGCTGGCCCATCACCAGAAGAACCTTCCCCATCTCCCCATTAGTACTTCTACTGCAACTAGCAGAAATCACAGGAAATTAAACAAACTTAAGCTCTTTCAGACAAATGAAAGCCTTCCTCATTTTTAAGGATTTCCAGGAGAAAGATTCTGCCACTTGCCTCAGTTAACCACCCTAGTTTCATCATCAAAACATTCTAACCTAGGTTCCTCAGGGTTCAGTTTAATATCCATTCCCTTTTATTGGATATCATTAGCGAAGACTTTTCCCTGTAGAACTGTACATTCCCTCCATTCAAGGATCCATGATTTCACTAGTGTGATAACTCCTTACCTCCCACTAATATAGATAGATCATAACCCCTCTGTACCTTAGTCTATGGTCTTTGTGAGTTTCCGTGGCTAAGAATAAAAAAAATTATTAACATATTGCTCTGTAACTTACCTGTTGAAGAGCCACTCCAAATGTAAATAGGCTGGTTCTTCAAAGGTAAAGATCCAGTCTATTATTGGGTCCATATCAAAAGTTTTCTAGCTTGTTGGAAATCTGAGATAGCTAACTGGTATAATAAATAGATCACTAGACTTGTAATGTGGAAGATCTTAATTCAAATCCTGCCTTGGACATTTATTAGATGTGTGTGACCTTGGACAAGTCCCTTAACTTGTCTGAGCCTTAGTGTCCTCGTCTATAAAATAGGGGTGATAAGAGCGCCTATTTCATAGGTTTGTTGTGAGCATCAAATGAGATAATAAATAGAAAGCACTTGGTAAGCCTTCAAATGCTATACAAATGGTAGCTATTATTACTACCTATTGTAATAGCTTTTAAGAACCTAGGGCCACATCCCCACTGCAGTGTGCAGTCTGCTTCTGGACAGAATAATACAAATTCCTTTTGATCTTGATGATGATAACATTTACTTAGTACTTTCAGGTTTGCAAATGTGTAAAATATGCTACCTCATCTGTTCCTCACAACAGCCCCGTAAGGTAATCACTATTATCATCTCTATCTTAAATAAGAAAATAGACTCAGGCATGGTCAACTCTAGATCATCTCTAAGATTCCTTTGAGCTCTTAACTCATAGAACTGGAAGAGCATAAATCACAGAACATGGAACCTTTGAGATCATTTAATTCAACTCCTTTATTTTACAGATGAGACAACTAAGGCCAAAGGTCATAAATATGGCCGAGCTGGGACTTGAACCCCAAGTCTCTTGACTCCCAATCCAATGATTTTTCCCACAATGTGACTGCAGCTCAGCAGCCATTTGTGAGGTCTAGCCCTAGCTTCCATTTCTTATCACCTCTCCCCATCCCTTCCTAGATCCTCTTATTACCTGAGAGATTCCTAAGCACCTCCTGTGTTGCAGGGACTTCGGACAGTTGGCTGTGGAGCTGTTAGACCAGTCCTACAAGCAGGATGAACAGCTGGCAATGAAATTACTGACCTACGAGCTGAAGAACTGGAGTAATGCCACGTGCCTGCAGCTTGCAGTGGCTGCCAAGCACAGAGACTTCATCGCTCACACCTGCAGCCAGATGCTGCTGACGGATATGTGGATGGGCCGACTTCGGATGAGAAAGAATTCAGGTCTCAAGGTCAGCACAGCCTAAAATGAACCATGGAGGAGGTGGGAGCAGAGAATGATTTTAGATATGATGAGCCTGATCTATGATAGGACTGGAATCCTCCTTGCTGTAGGATGCACCATATGCTTAAGGGAGAGCCATTCTCTGAGTTCAGGGACAAAGAGAGTCTCTTTCCCTAGGAATGATGTCACAGCAGAGCTTTTCTGCACTCATCTAACCTCTCATTGCTCATGGCAAGGCCTAATGCTTTCATTCCTTGGCAGAAAGAAAACCTGGAATTTGTTAGACTGTGCTCAAAGCAGAGAAGAAATGGAAAGAGGAGGAAGCAAAAAAATGGCAGGAAAGGGGCAGACAAAAAGATGAAAGACAACAAAAAAGGCATAATAACCCCTAACAACTTTAGAACTTGGGATTATTCCAGCATGGCTACACTGAAGCTTACCCCACATTAATTATAAAACTGGGTTTGCTAAGCAAAGTGAATTTATATATATATTTAAAAGACCCTAACTGCATAGGAAAAAACCCTGGATTTTAGAGGACCTGGGTTCAAATCCCAATTCTTCAGTTTACTGTGTGAAAATGAATTTGGGCAAATTACTTGCCTCTTCTATGCCTCAGTGGTAAAATGAGAGGGTCAGAGGAAGTTAATTCCAGCTTTAAGATTCTGTGTGTACATTTCCTATGTATAGTACATGAAGCTAGCTACACTTAGGGTATAAACCAGTTTCTTCTGGTATGTTTAAGCCAATTTAAGGAAGTAAACTGTTTTCAACAATACCCCTCACCCCAAACCACCTTAGGGAGATGCACTTTGCATAGCCAAAATTGGTAAACAGATGCAGTATCTTTTATCTCTTTAAGCAGTGCTGGGAAGCTCTTTGACAACAATACTGTTAGCCATTATAATTTATATATTCCATCATAGAGCTGGAAGGGACTTTAGCAATCATGGAGTCCAACACATTTTTTAACGAATAAAAAACATTGAGGCCCAGAGAAGTGAGGTGAACTTTTCTTTGAATTATGTTTAATTATATATGTTGATGAATGCAACTTCCTTGAGAGCAGAAACTGTTTGACTTTTGCCTTTGTATTTCCTACGCCTAGCCTGGAACATAATAAGCACTTAATAAATGCTTGTTGACTGATTGATTGAATGATGGTTCGAGTGGGAGGTGGGTGTTCCCATCTTCCCTTCTGTCCAGGCCAAGCACATGTTCATTTTTGCCTCTCTACCCAAATGGAACGATTAACGTTTACTTGTCGGTAAAATCGTTTTCAGTTTTTCCACCAGAATGAAAAGTTTTATCCTCACTTGCATAACATTCCCCTACTGAGCTCCAAATGATTCCCTTAATATCAGAGTGGTCAGTCATTCATACTTCCATTCACACATGTGCACACAGCAAAAAGCATTAGGCCCTATTTCCTCTGACACTAAGCAACCAGCATCATCTTAATCTGTTAAATGTGATTATTATTATTATCATTATCATTGCTTTAGGTAATTCTAGGAATTCTACTTCCTCCTTCAATTCTCAGCTTGGAGTTCAAGAACAAAGATGATATGCCTTACATGTCTCAGGCCCATGAGATCCACCTTCAAGAGAAGGAGCCTGAGGAACCAGAGAAGACTGTGAAGGAAAAAGATGAAGAGGACATGGAGCTAACAGTAAGAAAAGTAGCATCGGGTTGGTCTCTTATGGTATGAAATGACTGCTCCTGCTTTCTTGGTGACTACAGAGGAGCATCCTCAAGTCTGGGGAAAGGGTTGGTGCCTGAACTTTTTCTAAGGTCTGATGCTTGAAATCAGACAATAAAATTAGAAGCCTGGGGCACTTTCCTTCTAGACAGCAAAAAACAAACAAACAAACAAACAAAACCCTGATACTATAGTACATCAGGGGCCTGCCTAACCAGAGAGGCCAAGGTGGTGTAGTGGATAGAATAAGGGATTTACAGTCAGGGTTCCCTTGGTTCAAATCCTGACTCTTTCACTTATTAGCTGAGTGACCTTGGGTAAGGTTTTCTTAAATTCTCTGATCCTTCCTCCATTTCCTCATTTGTAAAATGAGGGAGTTGAATTAGCTGACCTCTAAGGTCTTTCCAGCTCAGAAACTCTTCAGTGGGGCTGAGGGCTACAAGAGAAAGAATGAAATTCAAGAGCACAGCACCCCAAGTTTTCTAAACATATAGCACTAGGGAACAATAAGGTAAGGAAACAACCCCAGTGCATTCAGAGAAACCTTGTAAGTTTGGGGAAAATCTAGTATCACCTGGCTTCATTCAGCAGACACTGACCTTCCAAGCAGAACCTTAGCCTTCATCTTTTGGCTGGGGGGGGGATTCAGGTTAGCAAATGCAAGACTAATTGAATTTTGTGGTTTCTATGGTTGGCTTTTATTAGCTTTTCTCTAAGTACAATTATCCCTGCACAAATGTTTTATACTGCAGGCTGGATCAGGCATCTGGGGAGGGGACAGCCTCCTACAACACCCACTTTGACAGTGTGACGTTCCCTGGAATTTATCCAAGGGCTAAACATATTATCCTGTCTACTAGGGGGAAAAACAAAGGCTTTCTTTGTATCTTTGGAGACACTGAGCAGGAGCCATAAAGACTTCCTTAATTCCCTACTCCCATCCAGTAGAAGGCTGTGATCTCCCAAAAGGGAGTACACTTATGGAAGGAGGGGGAAGAGAAGGGCCAAAGGGAACCACTCTTTTTAAAATGTGATAATAATAGTACCTATCTCACAGGACTATCATGAAAATTAAATGAGAATATATGCCTCTGAACTGTACAGTTGAAAGGGAATTCAGAGGTCATCTAATCCAACCTCGTTTTTACAGATGGGGAAATTGAGGGACATGATTAAGTAACTTGCCTTAGGTCACACAGGTAGTATGCATCACAGGTATGAATGAACTCCATTCCTCTGTTGCAGAGCTTTTCCACTGTGCCACACTGACTCTCACTGTAAATCAACTGACTTGGTGACATACTTCCCATTAAAGTGGTTCCCTCTCTTGATTAATCACTGACAGCTTCTGACACATTGGTAGAGGTTTTATTAAAATCCAATAAAGTCATAGAAAAATAGTGTGGTATAATGGATAGAAGGCTGGCCTTAGAGTCAGAAAGAATTAGGTTAAAGTCAGTCCATCAATAAACATTTATGCCTATTATGTACTAAGTACTAGGGATACAACAGAGGCAAAGAGTCCCTTCCCTCAAGGAGCTTACAATATAATGGGGGAGACAATATGCAAACAAATAAATATAAACAAGCTACATGCAGGATAAATGGGAAATAAGTAACAGAAGTGTTCTAGAATTAAAGGCTTCCTATGAAAGATGGGATTTTATTGAGGACTTAAAGTAAACCATGGAAATCAGTAAATGGAACTGAAGGAAAACATTCCAGATATGGAAGACAGCAAGGGAAGGTGCCCAGAGCTGAGAGATGGATTATCTTGTTCATGGAACAGCTAAGAGGTCAATGTTACTGGATCAAGGAATAGATGGTGAAGAGTAAGTAGGAGGGGGCTAGGTTATGAAGGGCTTCGAATTCTAAACACAACATTTTATATTCATTCCTGGAGACAATAGGGAGCCTGGAGTTTATTGAGTAGGGCAGTGACTAGATTGGGATGGGGTGAGACTTGAGGCAGACTATTGTAGTAAGCAAGGTGTGAGGTGATAAGGTCTTACATTAGAGTGGTAGTATTGTCAGAGGAAAGAAGGGGACATATATGAGAAATGTTACAAGGCCTTGACTACAGAATGGATGTGGGGGGCAGGGTAAGAGATAGTGAGGAATCCAGGATGATTCTTAGGTTGTGAACCTGAGGGACTATGAGGATGGTATTGCCCTCAACAATGACAGGGAAGGAGGGGAGGTTTAGGGAGAAAGGTAATGAGTTCTGTTTTGGACACGTTGAGCTTAAGATGTCTACTGGGCCTCTCCTTTCAAGACATGTGAAAGGCAGTTATCTTGCCTTTGGCATACTAAGTACGTGACCCTGGGCAAGTCAATTAACCTCTCAGTGCCTCCCCCCTCCCCCCAACTCTCTAAGTCAGGTAGTTAGTAGTGGAGGGAGTTTTCATATCTCTGCCCTGGAAATTTCCACCAGTGAAATCATAGGTCTGGACCAAAAGAGGGAGAAAAGTACATCAGAAAGGTGGTGCAGCAAACAGAATAGAAGGTAGGCCTCAGAAAAACCTAGGAATAAGTTCTGTCTCATGATGTACACTACATGTATGACCCTGAACAAGTGTTTAGGGACACATTAAGACCAGAAGTTACAGATTGAGTTGCTGATCTTCATTGGTGGAGGCAGTTTCCCTATACCAATGAGTGGGGAAGAGATTATATATGTGTATGAAAATGTCTATATATGTGTGTGTATATGTGTGTGTGTGTGTGTGTGTGTGTGTGTGTGTGTGTGTGTGTGTGTGTATATATATATATATATATATATATATATATGTCTATATTTGACATTTTCATTTGTATAATGCTGTGTGCCAGGCACTGTGCTAAATGCTTTACAATGTTTATTTCATTTGATCGTCACAGCCCTGGGAGGTAGGTGCTATTGTTAACCCCATCTTGCAAATGAGAAAACAGAAGCCAAGTGACTTGCCCAAGGTCGCACAGCTAGTACATGTCTAAGGCTGGATTTGAACTTGGTTATTCCTAACTCCAGGACCAGCACTCTATACACTCTACCACCTAGCTGCCTTAAATTCCAGACTAAAACTCAAAAGTACTTCATAATCTGCCATAGAGATGAGCCCTACATTAAAGTCTGGGAGGTATTTTTCTCATAGATCATGCATCATCTTTCTTTAAGCTGCAAGGGATCTTAAAAGACCATCTTGCCTTCAGGCAGATATGGAGTTATTTCTATGTAAAGTAACTAAGGCCCAGAGAAATTAAATTGCCCAAGGTAACACTGATGTCTTTGATACAGGATCAGCAATCCACTCTCCACTTCATATTTTTCTCACTCTATCCTGTAGATAGCTTGTTTGTACATGTTTGTTGGCTTGTTGTCTTCTCATGAGATTGTGAGTTCCTTGAAAGCAAAGTCTTTTGTATCCCCAGTGCCCGGCACATAGTAGGTGCTTAATAAATGTTCAGTGACTGACTCACTAGTAGTACAAAGGGAAGACAAGTTCTCATCTTCTTGATGAAGTGAAGATTTCCCTTGAGAGCTCATTGAAGGTCTTAGATTCAGGAAAAAAGATGCAAGGACAGAAAATGCTACTTGAATTATCAGTTGGGACCTCCAAGTCACTTGGTCCAATAGAATTGTCTGTACTTTAGTCCTTTGTTTGGAGCCCTGAACCATTAATAAGCATTTTTATCAATGACTTGGATGAGGACATAGATAGTCTGTTTATGAAATCTATAGCTAGCAGGAACCTAAGTGGAATCGTTAACATAAGAACAGAAAATTCCATGCTCTCTAGCATGGGATTAACACAGATTTTGATAGGCCCAATCTAATCAAACGAAACTTAATGGGTATACATGTAAAGTGCTACACTGAACTCAAAAATTCAACTGTTCATGTCCACAGTGGGAAGTGGGGATGGAGTCAGACAACAGTTCAAATGAAAATTTAAAAAGGACTTAAAAAGAGTACCTAAGTGTTCATCAAATAAGATAGTGTAAATTATTTCCTTTGTAATGTGCTTTAGAAATGTGAGTTATAGGGGCAGCTAGGTGGCGCAGTGGATAGAGCACTGGTCCTGGAGTCAGGAGGACCTGAGTTCAGATCCAGCCTCAGACACACGATACTTACTAGCTGCGTGATCTTGGGCAAGTCACTTAACCCCAATTGCCCTCACCAAAAAAAAAAAAAAAAGAAAAAGAAATGTGAGCTATTACATTTGTACCTGGACTACTAAAAGTATTTTGAAAATAAATGTTGTGAGAGGAAAACTTCAGTTAGACATAAGGAAAAGCTTCCTAACCATTACTACCCTCCTAATGTGGGATGAGCTGCCTTGGGAGGTAGTGAGTTTCTTACTTCTGCCAGCCCAGGCTCCTGCTCTGATACAAATTGGACCAAAGGACCTAAGAGGTTCCATCTAACCTGAGATTTTATGAACTTTTAAGCAGAAAGATGTTCATTGTACATTGTACCTGGTTAGTGAGAGGAAACTGCTTGTGTTGAGCATGGTGTGGTACATATACAGGAGTATAGAGCAGCTAGGCGGCACAGTGAATGGAGTACAGGCCTCAGATTCAGGAAGACTCATCTTCCTGAGTTCAAATCTGGCCTAAGACACTTATTAGCTGTGAAAAGAGCATCTGTCATTGACTGTCAGGCTGAACTAACTCCTCCAAACAAAAAGCATACCACTGGAAGTTCTTGCCTAAGTAAACCTTGGATACAAGTTTTTCCTGGGCAGAAATAATACAGCAAAGTGAAATAAATTGGTAGATTGGTGAAATTCATATTGAATAACACCTGCCACTTAAATTTTAGACAATTGGATGGTACAGTGCGTAGAGTACCTCACTTGGAATCAAGAAAACCCAAATTCAAATCTCATCTGCACTAACAGGGAGAACACATACCTCCCAAGGTTGTTATAAAGATAAAATGAGATAATACCTGCAAAACTTTTAGCTCAGTGCCTGGCAACATCTTCGTTGTTTGGTCATTTCAGTTATGTCCAAATCTTCATGGTCCCATTTGGGGTTTTCTTGGCAAAGATACTAGAGAGGTTTGGCATTTCCTTCTCTGGCTCATTTTATAGATGAGGAAGCAAACAGGGTTAAGTGACTTGCCCAGGATCACACAGCTAGTAAGTGTCCAAGGCTAGAACTGAACTCAGGGAGATGAGTCTGACTCCAGGCCCAGCACTCAATCCACTGTGCCACTTAGCTGCCCAAATGCTGTATACATGATAGCTATTTTTAGAATTAGCATCATCATCAGCATCATCATCATCATTTCAAATCCTGCTCCCAGATACCATCTATGGGACACTGGGCAAGTTACCAATCTTTTCTCAGCCTCCCTATCCTTGTCTGTAAAATGGGGGTAATGATTCATGGGGTTGTTGTGAGGATCAAATAGGGCAACATAAAGAAAGTGCTTTGTAAACCTGAGAACACCATATAAATGTTAGCTATTATTGTTCCATTTAAGCTCTGCTCCTTCCAGAGTACTGGTTTATATTGAGATGAATTTTTCACACTAAAAGATGTGAATAGAAGAATTTAGATCATGTCCCAAGTGACAGGAAATGTATAGCTTATCAATAACAACTTCCTCCCGGTCCCATATTACAGAGGATTTATTTATATTTAGGTTTTTGACTAAAATAGTGTATTCTATCTTAGTCAAGGACTTTTTCCCCCTTTCTCCTAAAATTACCTCAGTACATCAAGGAACTGGGACTTCATCAGTGTGTAGATCTTCTTCCACTGATGCAGATTATAATAACTAGCAGTTACACAGAGCCTTGGGCAAGTCATTTAATCCCATTTGCCTCAGTTTCCTCATCTGTAAAATGAGCTGGAGAAGGAAATGGCAAACCACTCCAGTATCTTTGCCAAGAAACCCTAAATGGGGTCAAGAAGAGTTAGACACAACTGAAAAATAACTGAACAACACAGAGCGTTAGAGTTTGTGAAGTAGTCTATATGTTTTAAGTCTCACAACAACTCTGTGAGCTAGGTGTTGTTATCTTCATTTCTGAGAAAGCTGAAGCTGAGAAGAATAATAGCCCTGGGTCAAAGGGCTAGTAAGTATCTGAGGCAGGATTTGAACTCAGATCTCCTTGACTCTAAGTCCAATACTGTGGCCACTGTGGACAAAAACTGTCATATAATGAACTACCTCAGAGCAATGGGCCTTTCTGAGCCTAACTAGGTCAACCCCTAAAGGGCAAAATAGTTACTAGGCAAGTATTTGATGCCTTTCCAAACCAGCAGGACATGCCTGAGGCTATACTCCAATAGTCTGGCCTTTAAGAATCCAGAGTCAACTCCACTAATCCATCAAGCATCCATTCCTCACTGAGTCACCAGAGCAAGGCTCCAGTGAAGGCTTACAAATAAAAATATATCCAGATTGAATTATTTAATACAAATGATTTATAGGAAGGCGTTTTATGTTCACCCAATAATATAATTTAATTTCAAAATGAGTTTAGTAATCCAGGTTCATATGTAATAACTCACATTTCTATAGGACATTACAAAGGTCATAATTTATATTATCTCATTATATGGGAGAAAAAAAAATTATGCTTTTTTTCCTGACCACAACCCCATGAGGTAGATAATACAAAAATTATCAACTGCATTTTGAGGGAACAAATACAAAAAGGTGAAAAAACTTTCCCACTTATAAAGTGACAGTCCTGGGACCCAACTTACGTCTTCTGAATCCCATGGACAATGACCTTTCGACTCTACCATGCTTCCTCTCTGTATATGTAAATTGTCTCACTGTAGATTTAAGTTCTTCACTCTTTAGAGCATCCGTGTTCACCCTGCTGGGAAATTCACATTTGTACTTCTCACCTTTTTGCATCTGTTTCCTCAAAATGCAGATGATAATTTTTGTATTATCTACCTCATGGGACCAAAGAATATTTTTTTCCTATTCATCAAATGAGATTTGGAGTCTTTTAAATCCTCCTCCTTAAAATGTTTATTTCCTTCTCTTCCTCTCCACCAGAAAAAAAAAAAAGATCAGAAATATAAGTTGTTAAAGGTAGAATTAATGAAATTTCTAAAATGTTTTGCCTGCAACCACCATAAATATCAAGGCTTTTCAACACACATTCAGACCTTGTTACTTCTGAATACTCCAATACTTTTGTGATCTCATCAGCATTGTAACCCATCTATGTCTGTTTCTCCTGTGCAATACTCACCCATAGGTATGGGTTCAAGTCCCACCTTAGACACTTATTATCCCCATGGCCAGGAGCAAGTTGCTTTCCTTATCTGAGCCTCAGTTTCCACATTTGTAAAATGAAAGGGAGAGGCAGATTAGACTCAATGACCTCTAGTCATGACCCTGAGTTCTGTACCAGCAGAGTATAAGCTGTCTGACAGGTTCTGTTTATACATACATACATACACACACACATACTTAGACTTAGATGTGTGTATACATATATATACATACATATACATATGTACACACATATGTACCCAAATACACACACACACATATATTTCTCTCTCCTGAGAGGTACTAACTAAATTATTTCCTTTATTAAGAATAACAACTAATATTTACACAGTGTTTTAAAGTTTGCAAAGCATATCACACAAATGATCTCATCTGAACCTCAGAACAGCCCTATGAGGCATATACTGCAAGTATTTTTATCCCCATTTTACAGAAAGAAAAAACAGACTCAGAGAGGTTAAGGGTTCAGACTTGTTTAGGGTCTCACAGCCAGTAAGTATCTGAGGCTGGATTTGAGCAACTCCAAGTTCAATGTTTGATCTCATACATGATAGAGAAAGTTTCAGCTAACCCCACAGCAGTAACTTCAGCATTCCCTCAGGCTGGCATATGATGTCATCATCTTTGAATGGTGCCTTTTCTTATGGCTAACTAATACTTGCACCTGTTGAGGAGGGTGGAAAAGGGTTCTCTTTAATGAATAATGAAAAACCCACAGCAGAATCACTTTCATTTTAGGCAATGCTGGGTCGAAGCAACGGGGAGTCATCAAGGAAGAAGGATGAAGAAGAAGTTCAGAGCAGGCACAGATTAATCCCCCTTGGAAGAAAAATATACGAATTCTACAATGCACCTATTGTGAAGTTTTGGTTCTACACCGTAAGCATCTCTCTAATTATTTTTCCTAATTATGATAGAGTCACAAAAAGGAGTCACTGCCACTTTAAAGGAACACATGCCTCACTCTATATCATAATGCAAGGGCCAGGAATATAAGAATGAAAGCCAAGACTGAAGTTTTTTAACTCCTTTCCAAGGGCTGAATGCTATTAAGAGAGATTCCTATGACTAGTTTCTTTGGTCTACATTTCTGCAGGCTTATTAAAAATGAGAACTATTAAAGAAATTCAACCAGTAAGTATCAGAGCTTGGATGTGAAGCCAGGTTTCCCATGATTCCAAATCCAATATTCTTTCAACTAGAACACATTGCCTCCCATAGAATGCTCTCTCTTGTCAACCTCTGCCTCCAGGAACCCTTAACTCCCCTTCAAGGCTCGGTTCAAGTGCCACCTCCAATATGAAGCCTTTCCCAATTTTCTTAGTCATCAATACTCTCTTCCTCTCCCCCAAAACCCAAAATTACTTGGTTTTTATTTCATAAAGCTCTTACCTTTAGTTCTCTTTCCATGCTGTCATTCCCTCCCATCTAAACTCATTGAGAAGGGGTGTTTTCACTTTTGTTTTTGTACTGACATCATTACTGTCTGTACAGATCAGGCTTCCTTCCTTCCTGCAGATCAGGGATTTGAGGCTGGACTTTTAAGGATAGAGTAAACATTAAATGTGACATTGTAAACGGAAAAAAGGGAAGGAGGATGAAGGAACAAAGAATCCTGATGAAGACTAGAGGGGGTAACTGAAAAATTATGATAATGATTGATGCAATGAAATGAATGGATTTAAATATAAATGGTTACTAAGCAAGTTAATTTGGTTGTAGTGATGTTCAATGTTAAGTTTTTAATAAAACATTGGGGTTTGGTTTGGTTTGGTTTTTTTTAGGATGGATAGAAAGGATAGAATTTCAACAGGTAAAGAGGAAGGGGAAAATTGCAGACAGGAAAGAAAGGCCATCCATCCACTTTGGCTAGAGCACAGAGTAAATAGAAAGAAATGTTAACTTTTTAATAAAACATTGGGGTTTGGTTTGGTTTTGGTGGGATGGATGGAAAGGATAGAATTTCAATAGGTAAAGAGAAAAGAGGAAAAAATTGCAGAGATAGGAAAGAAAGACAGAGCCATAGAGCCATCCATCCACTTTGGCTAGAGCACAAAGTAAACAGAGACAGTAACAGAAGAAAAGAATAGAAAGATAGGCTGGCACCAGATTGTGGAAGGCCTTGAATGCCAAGAAATTGGAAATTTGCTGTATAACCCATCAGAAACCATTGAAAATTTTTAATCATGATCACATCCATGAGGAAGATTAGTCTGGCAGCAGTGTGAGAAAGAATTCAAGAAGCTTGTGGGTCATTGATGCAAATACAATTCTGAAGTTATGAAGGCTAAGTCCAAAAAAAATCTATTTGGGATTACCTGGCACCTATTTAGTAATTTCTTGGCCACAGCCCCTAATGCTAATGATAAAAGCAATACCAACAACTTCTACCCAAGAAACTGAAATGTGAGTAGTACATATGGAGAATCAACCCTAATCTAGTATCATCAAACAATATTTCCTTTGCTCTGTAAATATTAGACATTCTGTAAGCTGATCTATCTCGAGATTGCTCATTGTCAGCCCAGAATCATGATGAGTAAGGTTGTACGATATGCATGCCCAGAAAATATTTTCTATCCACCAGGCAATCAACTGTAACTGAGTGTACCTTCTTGATATGGGAGGAACAAAGGACATTTTTAAAATTAATTTTCTGCTTATACCTTCCATTGCTACTTAAATCCATGTTAACAATAAGAATGAGAAGAATAGCTCATATTTAGGTATTATTTAAAAAATTAGAAAGCACTTTGTTCAAGAAAACTGGCTATTTTGAGTTGGACAGTATCATTAACCCCATTCCATACATGATGACCCTGCTCATACAGCTTGTAAGTATTAATTCCAGAACTTAAATCCAGGTCTCCTGACTCCAAGTCAAGAGTCAAGAATCTACCCCTCACTCCAGGCAGAGAGAAGATAGGCTCTCACAAGGAATCCTAATCCCATATTGGATATTCCCTTTCTTTTCATCTCAGCCTCTTCTCCTTCTCATATTTTAACTTTTCCTTACCTGCTTTCTAAAGATCACAGTTCTGTCTGACCAACTCTCCCTCCTCTCACCACCAACACACTCAGATACTCCCAACCTCAACTGGACAGCCTCTTTCTTCTCTTTCATTCACTCAAGGAAAAAAAGACTGGTTTTTTTTCAGGTTATTATATTGGTAGCTAAGGGAAAGTAGATGAGTTAAAGCAGATTTACAGAATACAGAATTATTAATTTTCAGAATATTAGAATCTAGCTGAAAGATATTACTTATCTGGCCAGAGAGAGCTATTCCAGGTTCCTGGGCTACATTGGAAGCTATCTAACTAGTTTCTAGGTCTAGCCCTGCCATGTGGCCAACTGCCACGTTGCTTCAACATGGCCCATACCTCCAACCCAATTCTCCCAGCTTCTTGTCCAAGTTTGTTTTTGCTTCAAAGCTGGCATCCTTTCTCCTTACCTCCCACCAATTTCTAGAGTCCCTGCTTCTAGGCACCCTTAGTTCTCCACATTTTTTTAAAGCTGGGTAAAATACCATATGGGTCCAATTAAGATTTTAAGTTCTGCTGCTAGCATCAGCTACTTCCTCAGGATCACACTAATGAGTCACAGCTCATCTCCCTTCCCTGACATTTACTAGCTATGTGACCATGGGCTGCTGGCTTCATTTCTCATCTATGAAATGGGAATGGTGATACTTGAATTATCTATTTTTCAGAGTTATTGGGATGAAAGCACTTTTCAAACCTTAAAACACTATGTAGACGTTAGCTATCATTACTACTGTTATTGTTGTCATCATCATCATTCTCCCTTTAACCCCCACAAGAAAGTGTTCCATGTTCTTTGGTTATCCCTTACTCTCACTACAAGATTGGCAAATCTCCCTTTCTAGACATAGCTCCCTGATGATATTAAAAAAAATTTCTTTTTGGTAAATAGTATTTTTCCCAATTACATGTAAAGATTGTTTTCAACATTCATTTCTTATAAGAGTTTGAGTTTCAAATTTTTCTCCCTCCCTCCCATCCTTCCTCCCCAAGATAGCAAGCAATCTGATATAGGTTATACATGTACAATAATGTTAAACCTATTTCCACATTAGTCATGTTGTGAAAGAAGAAACAGAACAAAAGGGAAAAGCCATGAAAAACAAAAAAATTAAAATTAAAAATTAAAAGTGAAAATAGTATGTTTCCATCTGCATTAAGACTCCATAGTTCTTTCTCTGGAGGTGGATAGTATTTTCCACCATAACTTTTTTGGAATTGTCTTGGATCACTGTATTGCTGAGAAGAGCTACATCAGTCATTGATGATCACTGCACAATGTTGTTATTACCGCATACGATGTTCTCCTGCTTCTGCTTACTTCACTCAGTATCAGTTCATGTAAGTCATTCTAGGTTTTTCTGAAATCACTCATCATTTCTTATAGCACAATAATATTACATTGCATTCACATACCACATGTCCCTGATGACATTCTTTAAAAATAATTAATAATATCAATTCAATGTTTTGTTTATATTCTTCTAACAGCGTCGTCACTGCCCCAAAACTCCCTAACCCCCAATATAGCCCTCCCATTCAACAGAGAGGTACAATTAAATGAAGTGGATCCACATAGTGGCCATGCCTGACAATTCATTTTTTGCACATGGTCTGATGACATTCTTGTACCACTTCTTTGCAATTCCTAGTTGGTAATATGTTCCAGTCTATTCACCCACCCACCATTTTCCTCTCCATTTTGCTTTGGATAACCGATAACTTTAATTCTTTAGGAATTATTGTATGACAGGCATATATAAAAGAAAATTCACCTAAATGAAGAATGGCTGTGCAATATAGCAATCAATAAATTAAACCACAAACATTTAAGTACTTATTATGTGTCGGGCCATGCTAAAAACCTGTAGATATAAACGGAGGAAAAAACTACCTGTCCTCAAGAAGCTAACATTCTAATGGGAGAGACAGTATCAATAGAAAGAGAGAAATTGGGGGGAGAGGGAGAAAGGGGGAGAGAGAGGGATGCAAGATACTCTGAGTAGATGGAAGGTACTCTTACAGCAGAACACACTAGTACTTAGGGAGATTAATAAAGGTCTCCTACAGAAGGTAGTGTTTGCCTGGGAGAGGAAAGGCAGGGAAACTAAGATGCAGAAAGTGAGGAGGGAAAGCCTTCCATGCATGGGGAACAGCCATTGAAAAGTAATGGAAATAGAAGAAATGCTTTATGTGAAGAAGAGCAAGTAAGCCAATGTAGTCTGACCATAGAGTTCATGGAAGGGAGTAATACAGAAGAAGAATCCAGGAAGAGTATGGAAAGTTCCATAAAGACAAAGAAACAACAGACTGAAAAAATTCAAATTTCTCAAAACTTAATGTAAAAAATAAGGTGGAGAAATGGCCACAATAAACAAAAACAAGTGAGGCCCTTTAATCAATCTGGCATAAATTTATAAAAGGTATGTTCTTGAAATGCTTTAGAAAACAATTTCTGCTCACTTTTCCTGGATTAAATACATTGTAGAACAATGCAGTTGTATCATGTCATTTTTAGATTCCTCTGTTTATACAGTATTTAAAACATAAGGGAAATTTGGAAGCATAAAAGGGAAATTGGAAGCAGGAGCAAGAACGTGATATATATTTTTTCAGATAGCATATTCACTTATCTCATCATCCCCAAAGCTATCATTTTTTTTCCCCTTAAGTTGCACAGTCTATGTCTCTTTCATGTCACTGATAAGTAGAGCAAGCTAAGAACCAAAAACAGGACAGTGGTTTCTGTACTCTAAAAATGGCCTAATCAGACAAAACTGAAACCTTCAACCTCTTGCATTTACTATACAATATTAAGATGGCCCCTGGAGTGGTGAGAAAGCAGTCCTAGAGTGCCTGCTATATGACTGGCTAGATGGTCTACAAAACATTGTAGAGACCAGATGTTTCTTTGTCTCATTCAAGTGAGGTGCAATGAGATACAAACTGTATGTGTGTTAAGGTGTCAGGGGGAGGGTGGGTTGGAGTTGACAAAAAATTATTTTGGTCCTTTAAGTCAACCCAAGTGACCTGCACCTAAATTAGGGGATAGATAAAGATTATCTTATTTTATTGCTCTGTTCTCCTCTTTGTGAATCTCTCAGAAATGTGCCTACTGCTTTTCTCAAGACTTTAAAAAGTACTATGTGTCTTATTTTTCTGTTAGGGAGGGACAGAACTGCCCAGAAAAAAAAAATCCATAACCTCTCTGCTCCTTGTTACCAAGTTGGATGTAGGAGCCAGTTAGATCCCTTTTCGGTTCCAAGAGGAAAAGAGGCACAAATCCATTTGGCTGCTCTACGAGCCTTTCTCTTGAACTGAGCCAATTTGCCTGTATTTAGCTGGGAAGGGTCCAGATTCAAAGCTGGAAGTGACACCAGGACACAGGGCCACACATTCTGTGTTTCCATTTTCTATGAGAAACGGTTTCCTTTCACTGACAAACAAAATTTATATCTTTCCTTTGACTAGTGGAAAAGAGAGCCAGAGTGGGACCAGTAGCTGGCAAAAACCCTGGCCCAAAGAGACCCAAATTCTAGGTAGTTTTGTGATTACCTTGACATTGCATATCTGATAGTTTCAGAGTTGTACATGTGACAGGAGAAAGAAAAAACCAAAAACACAAATGAAAGAAAACCTCTACATGACTCCTGCTGACTTTGGTGAGGGCCATATGGTCATACTGCTGTTTACTACTTGCAGATTTTGCTCACAACTTTTATAAGACCTACAGATACTGGAAGAAGGAGAGAGAGAATTAGCAGTGAAAACACGTAAAGTCAGAGTAAACCTCCATGAAGCCCCCACAAAGCTGACTGTTCCTAAGACTGGATTTTTCCAAGACAAAGATAGCTGAGAGTGTATACACTGGGAAGAATCCTGGCTCTGGAATGTCAAGTAGAGTACAAATTATGCCTCAAATACTTACTACATATGTGACCCTGGCTAAGTCAGCTTAAACCACCTGGATATCAGCTGCCCCATTTACAAAATTAGGAAGCTGGACTGGATAGTTCTTCTAGATCTATGATTATGATAACGAAAGCAAGTCCAAAACTGAAATAAGTGAAATTAGGGATAGAGAAGATGTCAAAGGAATGGGAAGTGAAGAGGGCTAGAGGACGTGGCTTGTGGAATGCAGTGACTGAGAGGTTGTACTACTGTATATGATGAGCCAGGGAAGTCAAATAAATGTCTTGAGAAAAGAAAGACTCCCAAGAAGATCACTTGAACCTAAGGATAAATAGAGGTGGGTTTAAGTTTGAGAGAATGAAAATCATAGTTTAGAAAATAACATCTACACTGACATTTTGAGGTAGGATGGTTAAATGATAAATCAAGAGAATTAGAAATAAGACTAGATTAGCATGGAAATAATGGAGGTTAGCACAACAAACATAAAGAAATCAATGGTTAAGAAGCATAAAGAAAATGTCTCATCAGATATGATGAGGGCTTATGGATTTATTCCAATCTAATCCAATAATTTAATTTAATATGCATTTATTTAGCACAGATATGCCATTCACTGAGCTAGGCATTGGTGATACAAAGGCAAAAATGAAACAGTCCCCAATTTCATGGAGCTTACATTCTTAAAAAAAAAAAAAATTGTTTTTGAATCACCTTCATTTCCCCCAAAAGACTCCATTTGACCCTGGCCAAAAGGGATAATGGCTCCATCATCCTATAATCATAGATCATAGAGCTAGAAGGAACCTTGGAACCCATCTAATCCAATTCCCTCATTTTATAAACAAGTAAACTGAGGCCCAGAGGGTTTAAGTGACTTACCTAAGGTAACATAGTACAGAGAGACAGGATTTGATTCAAGGCGCTCTGGTCCCACCCAAATTCACTTCTCTTTCCACTGTACTATGATGCTTCCTAACAAAATAAACACAAAGTGACCGAAACAAGGCACTTAACGAAGTGCCTACTATGTGTGAGGGTCAGTACTAGTCATTGGGCACATAAAGACCAAAAGTTTCTTTAAACCCTACCATTGTGTGTGTAAGAGAAAATTCCATACATTCCCTCTGAATAGTCTGCTAGGGGCAAGGTTAACTATAATCTAATTATTCATATTGGTAAATAGTGAAGTATATTGGGGCCCCAAAATAAACATATAGAGGCAATTTCTGAACAGTATCATAAAGGTATATTTAAATAATAAACATGAGCATCACCAAGTCATTCAAAGTCCTCAACAGTTTCAGTGAAGATTATTTATCTTCCTTTGCTAGAGCCACATCAGAATCAAACTGTAGGCCTAGAAACACATCGGTCCACAGACATCCCTTCTGGCAGCAGTCCAGAATAATGTTCTCATGTGCAACGTGATTATTGGAGTGTTAGAGGCAGCTCTAACAGCAGCACTCTAAGGATCCCAATTCTGTGATCTTAATTCAGGTTTGATGTTGGGATGAAATAAGGCATTGAATATGTAACAAAAGGAGGTTTACTTTGCGCTAAAAGAGCAAGAAATACAACAGGGATACAGTGGATATGCTAAGATTCTCTGGACATGGCCCCAAAGTCTCCATATGGAAATGTGTCTAGTCAAAAGGGCAAGGATTTTTATGTGTTTGATGACCAGGAAGCTACATCAGGGAAGTCAGGGCCAATCAGATGCTGGGGCAGCTTTGTCTCCTTTTGAGGAAAACTACTGCCTAAGGACTAGGGAAGGAGGAGGAGGAGCCTGGGCCTCCCCATGTTGGGGGCAAGGGTGGGGCCAAAAGGAAAAGCTACATCAAGGAAATAATAGTAAATATTAGTCATCACATGGAAGGTAGCCTGATACGTAGAAAAGGAGTAAACTCACCCAAGAAAACCCAGGGGACAAACCAACCAATTAGGAGGTCAAGCTATTTCAGAGTGGGTCTGTTATCTTTCAGCTTTTAGGACTGGTTTGGGATAGCTATCCAGCAGACATTTTAGAATTTTAAAGAAAACTTTCTTATTAATTTTTCATAATATGATGTTGTTTCACAATAAAATCATAAGAATTTAAATGAGGGGATTATTTATAGTTTGTTCACTGACTGTACTAATCACTTAGCAGTTTTTCAGTTCATCCTGTCAAGATCACTGGCATTCTTGCAGCTTAGAAATGCATTGATTCAATGATTCTGATTCTATGTCTTCCATTTTCACCCATGCACTTTCTGGGGTCTGGTTGCCCCATATCAGAAGCCTGCACAAGAATGAGGTAATGCTCCTCTTTGTTAATGGACAGAGAAATTGTCTTTTATATCTTTACAGCTGGCATACATTGGGTACCTGATGCTCTTCAACTACATCGTGTTAGTGAAGATGGAACGCTGGCCTTCCACCCAGGAGTGGATAGTCATTTCCTATATATTCACGTTGGGAATAGAGAAGATGAGAGAGGTAACCGCATCTCTATAAGAGAACCTGGAAGAAAGGAAATGGGAGGGGGGTTTTTAGTTATATTTATGGCTATCCTGGGGTACTTGGGATTCAGATTTAACAAGAAACCACTTTTCCTAATGCTGACCTAGGAATTTCTACCAGGGCTCACATTTCTTTCTCACTGACAACCCTATGGATACTCTGCTCATTCAGATGTTTATAGCATTGACATCGCCTGATACCCTGGGTCTTTGCTGTTTATTTTCAACTAACACAGTTCACTTTCCCCAGGAAGTTCTGCAAATGATTATGTCTTTCCTTGTTAGATAGAACATTTACTCTACATGGCTATTAGATCTTTTCCTGTCCTTTTATACAGTTGTCTACGTTCTGTGCCTGCCCTCAAAGTGGGGTTCTTTGGCCATTTCTTAGTAGTTGTTGTTATGCAAATGGATTTCAGCATCCCATTTCCAATCTCATCTTTGACACTATGTGACTTTGAGCAAGCCATTTAATATCGCTGAGCCTCAGTTTCCTCACCTATAAAAATAAGGTAGACGAACCAGATAGCCTCTGGGGTACCTTCCAGCTCTAAGATCCTATGCTTTCTAAAGAAACTACTTTCTAAAGTCTACTCTGTCTTCCTCTTCCTTCTAGCTTTTTAATGAGTACTTCCCCATTCCCTGGACTCTTTCTTTGAGACCTGTAATCACGTCATCATTGCCATTGCTTCTGGAAAGGGTATCTCAGTTGTCTGCCCTACTGCTCCATTCACCAACTCTGCGACTTCTCAGAAGACCATAATTCCCTTCCCTGGCCACCACTCCCTTATATGTTTCGTCTCAATCGTTAGAATGTAAACTCCTTAAGGACAAGCACAGTGTCATTTTTGTACCCGTGTCCCCAGCACCTAGCACGTTTGGCACCATAATAAATTCTTAATAAATACTTTTCATTTATTCTTCTTCCCCTTACTCCCCTCCCCCTTAAAAAATACAATAAAATATCTATAATCTACTATGCAATTTACTCATCTGTAAACTGAGGGAGTTGTATTAGATGACCACTAAGGTCCCCTCCATCTCTAAAGCTATAATGTTTTAACATCCAGATCATTCATTTTAAGCAAATTTCCCTGGAACACAAGAGGTCTCAATTCCAAATGGTGCCAGAAGCCAATAATGCTGTAGACATCCAAGACCACAAGAGGGCTCTGCAGGCTGCTTCCCGATGCCAACAGGCCAATCTCAAAAAATTCTTACATTCCAAAGAGGAAGAAAGTACACAAGGGAAGCTGAGCTTGGGCAGAGTTTGGCATGAACCTGCCACACCTTCCCTTCTTCTGGCTGTAACAGTCAGAGTGAGCAGACTTTTCTGTAAGGATGTCAGGTCCACTTAGCTTCTAAAAGCTCCTCTCAGGTATCACTGTCACAAGGATATGATGAAAATGGTCTAATGGATGGAGAAGCTCATTGAGCTCTTTGGAAGAAAGGTTCTCTATAAATCCAAAGCATTATCACCGTGATCACCACTTACATCATGGTCCACCATTATTGCTAAAATTGGCCCAGGGGCTCTTGTACTATTCCTGCTTTTCAACTGAGAGCCATAAGCTCTCAGTTTCTTCTCCCAAAGGGAAGATACAAAATCCATATTTTGTTTAGATGATATTATTGTTATTAATAATAGCATTAACAATCATTGCCATTCATTGAATGCTTTATCTACATTATTTCCTTTGAGCCTTGTTAGGTAGGGGCTACAAGTGTTATTACCCCATTTTGTTCCCAAAGATTTAGTGACTTGCTCATGGACCTACAGCTAGTAAGTGTTTGATGGGGGATATGAACCTAAGGTTTTTTTGGTCCTAAATCCAGTACCTGATCTGCCATGCCATGAAACATGCCGTCTTCTAGCAGCCAAGAACCGTCAATATCCATCTCAAGCTGGCACTCAGATGCCATGGCAAGTCACTATTTGTAAAATGGGAATAGGAGTTTTCTCCTAAATTTCTTATTTCCTACTGACTTCCCTAGGGGTGGTGTAGCTCCTTTGAATAAGAACATTCTTGCAGCAATTTGAGGATCTCAGAAATAGGGATTGTCATCAACCAAATACTTCCACCCAGGATTCTATCCGTGGGTCACTCACACAACAGCAGTTTTGTGGGTTTCCTATCCACAAACTATACAAATAAGATATTTGCCACATAAAGAGTTGGGAATTTATAATACTCTGAGAACCAAAACATGATGACTCTTGTCAAAAGTTCTTTGAACATCAATCAGTTGCCAGATCACTTGCAATTTTATTACCCAACTTTAATTCCTTCCAATAGGGAGAAATTAAGGAAACAGTCCAGTACAATGTAGATGATATTGCTCCAGTTACTAGAATGGGGGAGAAAAAGGAAGCAAAATAGACCTTACAGCTTATTCTTACTTCCTCCCAATAGGAAGGAATTAAGGCAAGATTCCCATACAACGTAGATGAAATGTTCCAGTTACTCAAATGGGGGAGAAAAAGGAAGCTAGATAGACCTATGGCTTACTCTACTTCCTCCCAACAGGAAAAAAATTAAGCTCAGATTCCAATACAATGTAGATGGAATTGTTCCAGTTACTAGAATAGGGAAGAAAAAGGAGGCAGGATAGACCCCATGGGTTTACTCTTGGAAAGGATGTAGCTGACAGAATACCAAGGATTTTAAGATCTGTGTATATGCTTCACCACAAGCTGTACAGGAAACAATTGGCCAATAAGCATTTTTTAAATACTCTGTGCCAGAGGTGATGCTAAGCACTGGGAATACAAAGAAAAACAAAATTATAGTCCCTGCCTTCAAGGAGCTCATGTTCTAAAGGGGAACACAACATGCAAAAAAAAAAAAAAAGCACATATAGGGTATATACTGTGAAACTGGAAATTAATCCACAAAAGGATTCAAGGAACCCAATTCTTGAATTTTTATGTGAAAAAGTGGGAAATGAAAAGGGCAGATATAATGATAGCTCGAATTTCTGCAGTGCTCAATAATTCCTAAAGTGTTTTCCTTACAACAACAAGATGAAGTAGGTTGGGAAAAAAGGGGTACCCCTGTTTTATAAATGGGGGAAAAAATTCACAGAGGTTTAAAGTCCAAGCTTACTAAGCAAATAAGTGGCAGCACCAAGGCTCAAACTCTAATCTTCGGATGCCAAGTCCAAGGGTCTTTCCTCTACCCTAAAGTGATTTTCATAAGAGTTTTTGCTTCAAATGCAGCATCAGTAAGAAACAGTGCCTACCAATAATTTTCAGAGCAAGGATCTGACCCTTTCCTCTGAGATCTAGGACTTCTGTGGTATAACATCACCACATATTCTGAGTTTCTGACACTTAAGTCCACATGAAAGATCTACCATGGGACTGTGAGTCACAAGTCTTGGTGTTCTCAGTACCCACATATATATACATTTGTTCCCAAAACCAAGATCCCAAAGACATGGGAATATTTATAATCTCACAATAGTTTCACTCATGTGTTTATGAGTGAAGGTTTTCTGATTTAACATGCTTCCCTCCCCATTCCCTGTACTGATGCTTCTGTATGGAGTTGCCCAGGCAGGAAATAGTGAGTGAATTTTACATGCTCTGCTCGTGAGAGTATTAGGAATACTGAGAGTATTGGGCATAACAACAAGGTAAGGTTGAACCTAAGCCAGCCCCCCACTTTTCACAGCACAGATGTCCCTAGTGGAGGTATAACAAGGATGGCAGTCTGGCTAATTGCTTCTTATAAAAGGAAGAAACCCTAATGAGATCAATCTGGTGCTTCATGTAACTAAACCACCTCAAGATTCTCATCTAACATAATAATAATAGCTAGTAATATATATAGCACTTTAAGGTATGTAAGGCACTTTACCTTTATCATGTCATGGAACTTTGTGGATTCTAACTCAGAAAGCATTTATTCATACTTGCTATATTCCAGGTATTATGCTAGGCACTGGTGATACAAAGACAACGAATGAAATGATCACTACTTGCCATGAGTGTAAATTCTAATGGGGCTTAGATAGATGTATGTCTATTCAATACATGCATGGAAGCTTACTACAAGTGGCTTTCAAAAGTAGGGAGAAATTGAAACTAATCTCTCTCCCCTCTCCTCTTCCTTCAGATTTTGATGTCAGAGCCTGGGAAGCTATTACAAAAGGTGAAAGTTTGGCTTCAAGAGTACTGGAATGTCACAGACCTCATAGCCATCCTCCTATTTTCTGTTGGGATGATCCTTCGTCTACAAGATCAGCCATTCCGAAGCGATGGGAGGGTCATATACTGCGTTAACATCATTTACTGGTATATCCGCTTGTTAGACATTTTCGGCGTGAACAAATACTTGGGCCCTTACGTTATGATGATTGGGAAAATGGTAAGGAAGAGTTCTTGTTTTCTATTGGGTACTCTAAGGGGAGGAGTGATAGCAGAAAAAGAATGAAGATTAGCTGGATCTGTTGGAATGCACAGGCCCAATGGCAGCCATTTATGTCTCCCATCCAAGGACCAATCTAGCTAAGTGCAGAGAGGTTCATCACCAGAAGGCTGACCACCAGGTGATGATTATTTTTGGCCACAGCTTATGACATCATCTACAAAGGATGCCATCTGCATCAGTGGAGGGAGTACCCACCCCAATGAAATCATGGATCCTTGAAGTGCTAAGGTAAGTTGGCAGAGTATAAAATAGACTTGGCTATGATTTTTCTGGTCTCCATCCCTCAAGGTCACAGAATCATAGAATTTTACAGCTCAAACATAGACAATCTAACTCAACTCCTCCTTCTCTAAATTGCTTTAGAATTGAAACTTGGCCACATAAATAGATAGAGAATAATTCTTCCAAAGAAGGAGGAAGTCTCTGCTCCAAAAACTCTTAATGAACTTAATTCTCTCTCTATGTTCTAGAGGCCACCATACCTTCCCAGGTACTGAGGGGAGAAAAGACTTTCTCAAGGTTCTATTGTATTGGCTAAAAGGGAAAATAGCTAGAGCCACCTAGAAGATCTCAGAGACCATCATTCCAACCCCCTCCTTTTACAAATGGGGAAACCAAGGTTCCAGCAGGTTAAGTAACTTGCCCAAGGCCTCACAGGAAATGTCAGAAGACAGAATTTGTCTGCAGAGTCATATTAACCAAACGAGTCATGCTACTTTCTGCCATATTGCCCTTTAGTCTCTCATCTCTGAGGCCTCTGGAAGGGGGATTTGGGGGAAGTGCATCAGAGGCACTGAGGCCACTCTCTTGTAGAGGAATGCTCACCTACAGCTTTTGGCTTTACCCCTTGCACACCTTGGAGACTCATCGGGGCTGTGCAGCCAGGATATCACCCTAGATTAGCATTGTCACTACCTGTACAAAGCTGAGGGAGCTAGTCATTCCCTCCTGCCTGCTTCCTCCCACAGCCACTGTGGGGAGCATCAGGGCTGCTTTTAAAGCAACTTTTCTCTTTTCTGAACATGTCATTTAGTGCAATGAATCACTCCCCAGCTACCTGCCTCTGTCACACTGCTGGAGCTATATTCCCTTGAATGCTCTGTGAAAAATCAGTTTGCCAACAGGCCCTATGTACTCTCCCCCTGCTCCCAAGGTGGAAACCTTTTTGTGAGCAATTACCCAAGATGTTTTTGCAATCACTCTTCACTTAAGTTTCAGTGCACATTTCTTTGCTCCTTTGCTATTGGTCAACCAAACAGTATTCATAAAACAGTTGCAAAATAATAGGGTCTCTGTCTCCAGTTATTGTTGTTGTTCAGTCTTTTCAGTCATATCCAACCCTTTATGACTCCATTTGGGGTTTTCTTGGCAAAGGTACTGGAGTGGTTTGCCATTTCCTTCTTGAGGTCATTCGACAGATGAGGAAACTGAGGCAAATAGGGTTAAGTGACTTGCCCAGGGTCACACAGCTAGTAAGGGTCTGAGGCCAGATTTAAACTCAGACTTTAGGCCCAGCACACCATCCACTTTGCTGCTTAGCTGCCCTCTGTCTCCAACACTAACAATTTTTTTTGCAAAGAAAGTGAGGAGTCTTCTCCAAATACAAAATGTAAAATTTTTTATTCAATTTTCATCTTATGCTTTTAAGAGGGCATCACATGAAAACTTGGTGAGCATGTTCCTATGCTCTGTGCTTTCTGGTGGTCATAGGAGCATAGATTTTGGAGTTAGAAGGGTCTTTAGAGGTCATTGAGTCCAATTCCCTCATTTTATAGATGAGAAAACAGGCTTAGAAAGGTTAAGTCACACTACTAATAATTATCAAAGGTGGGATTTACACCTACTCCTTCCCAACTCCAAGTATAGCATTCTCATCTGCTATGCCAAGCTGCCATTAGCTTTCTCTGTACCACCGCCATCATTTGGATACAAATACAGTTATCAACCCTAATACCACAAATGGAGGACCTTGACCAAATTGAGCGCAAATTACTTACCCTTCATAAGGTTGTATTCCATTTCAGTTTTGGAATAGAGAGGCAACGTAGCCTAAAGTTAGTGCGGGGAATACAAACATAAGGGGAAAGAAAGACAATCTTTGCCCTCAAAGAGCTTATATTCTAATGGAAACTTTGAAGCATGAGCAATGGACTTGAAATTTAGAAGACCTAGATTCAAATCCTGCCTCAGAAATTTAATAGTTTCATGACTTAAGACAATATCACTGACCTCTCTGAGCCTCAGTTTCCTCATCTGCAAAATGGAGATGATAATGGCATCTATCTCACAGGATTGTTGTGGGAAATCAAATGAGATCATTGTGTAAAGCACTTTATAAACATTAAAGCATTATTGAAATCTCAGCTGCAATTGTCCTCACTCAACAGCCAGCCCACCTCACCTACTCAATCATCTTTGATTTTAATGATGAATTTCAAATCACAGTCGAGATCTTCTAATGCCCAGAATTGATAATAATGCTATTAGAAAATCATAAAATTATATTCTGTTTGTTCTTCTAAAAGAATTCTTCTCTATCCCTTACACCTTAAGCAGAAGTATGAGAGCCTAGTTATTTGAAATGGAATGGTCCAAAAGAGCTAGAGAAATAAATAACTATAGAGATGGATAGATAGATAATAAAATGTGTATGTATTTATATATATATGTGTGTGTGTGTGTGTGTGTGTGTGTGTGTGTGTATGTGAGATATATACATGGAGAGGTGCAACTGAACTAGATGGATATTTTGATGAAGTATGTATTTATTATATAGATGATTTATCATATATATATATCATATGATATACACCCTATATGTGTATTATATGTGATGTCATGTACAATAAATATTCTAGTTATCTATAGATATATCATATATACATATTTATCATACATGTGATACACTATAATACAATATTTATCTAGTTCACATAGGACTCTCTCTGTACATATACATGTGTGTATGCACACATAATCATATATATCATTATATATCATATGTACTACATATACATACTAAAGAAAGGTTGACTCATCCTTAAGTATCTTTTGAAACTACTGAAGGAGAATTCACATCAGAGCAGCTATATTATTTTTCAGCTGTACTTCTTCCATTTTTATAACACAATTATCCCCTGTGGTGAATGACATGAAATGGCACCAATATGTTGCCCAGGTATCAGGCCCAGGAAACATAAGCAGGTATTCATTGCATTTTCTCTCTACAGTCTAATTTTCTGACTCCTCTGCCAGTCCAGAATAAAAAGAGGGAAGCAAATTGAACACGTAATATTGGTTGGATTGCGAATTGCTGCTATTATATGCGGTTTCTAATGTCTTTAGCTAGATGCTTGAGTCATTGACCCAAGACAGGAAAAGAATTAAGTCAGAAGACTGAATTTTTATAGTCCCTGACCAAAGATGCCCAAAAGGAAGTGGTTCATCAATTTGAACAGAAGAAGTGATATTGAGAACCTCTGAAGCAATGGGGAGTATTCCTTTCAGCACTGGATAAGCAATTAAGTGCCTACTATGTGCCAGGTGAAGCAGCTGGTGGCTCAGTGGATAGAGTCCTGGGCCTAGAGTCGGGGAGACCTGAATTCAAGTCCAGCCTCAGACACTTCCCAGCTGTGTGACCCTTGGCAAGTCACTTAACTTCTGATTGCCTGAGAAAAGGATACATTGGAGAAGGAAATGGCAAACCACTCCTGTACCTTTGCCAAAAAATAACCCCATGGACACTTGGTCCACAGAGTCACAACCAATCAAATGAACAACAACAATAAATGTGGTAGAGTGGGAATGCACACAGACACACAAACGAAATGGCCCCTGCCTTCAAAGAGCTTACATTATTGAGGGGAAAGAACATGTACACAGAAAAATAAACTCTCTCTCCCCATATATACATACACACATACACATATACACACATATTTACATGTATATATACATGTATGTATATGCATGTATATTGCATATATACATATATATTTCCTATGGGTGAGGAAGGGGGAAGCACTAGCCACATGGGCAGTTAGGATAGGTCTTGTGTAGGATGTGATACATGACGAAGCCAAGGCTTCTACTAGGCAGACGTGAGGAGTAAGTACATTCTAGGCATGGGGGACAATCTATGAAAGATACTTAGATGGAAGATAGAATGTCATATATAGGGAACAGCAAGTTAACCAGTTGGGATGGAATACTGATGACAAAAGTGTGTGAATGAGGGTAATATTTAGTAAGCTTAGGAAGGTAGACTGGAGCCAGACTGTGAAGGGCTTTAAACACCAAACAGGAGGGGCTTTTTTATTGGTTTGGTTTGGTAGGGTCAAGAAGGAGCCACTGGAGTTTCTGGAGCAAGGGAGAGGTATGGTTAGGTACTTGTGCACTGGGAATATTAATTTATGTAGAGGAAAGCCTAGAAAGGGGAGGAGTCCAGTTAGGAAGCTATTGTAAAAGTTCAGATAAGAATGATGAAGGTGTGGTTGTGGTATGAGTAGAGAGTAGGTGATGGATGGAGTATGTTAAGGACGGAGAATCAACAAGAAGTAACTAGCAGGATGTGAGTGGGTAAGGAAGAGGTCAGAGTCAGGGCTTACTCAAGGGTTGCAAACTTGGATGCCTAAAAGGATGGTGGTGCTATCAGCAATAACAGGATAATTAGGAAGAGGAGATAAAGAGTTTGAGGAGAAAGATAGTAAATTCAATTTTGGACATGTTGAATTTTAGATGCCTACAGTTGGTGATGTAGGACTGGAATGTAACAGACAAAGACTAGCTGTAAAGATGTGGATGTCATCTGACTGGAAATGATAATTAAACCCACAAAAGTTAATGAGATCACCAAGAAAGTATAGAGTGAGAAGAGGGCTCAGGAAAGAGTCCATCAGTTAGGGGACTAAAAATGGGTAATGATCCAATCCAACAAAGAAGGCTTAGAAGGAGCAGACAGGAAGAGAATGAAGAAAACAGTATCAAAAAAAGGCAAGAAAGAGAGAGTATCCAGGAGAAGGTAGTCAGCAGTGTCAAATGTAGCAGAGAGGTCAGAAAGGATAATTGTGAGTGAAAATTGGAAATGAGATTTGGCAACTGAGAAATCATTGTATGTTTGAAGAGAACAGTTTCGGTTGAGTGATGGTTTCCATACATTTACTGGAATATAGATATAGATATGAAAGTATGTTTGTATGTATGTATTTACACAAACACTAGAAGAAATGCATGAAGGTTCTGTGATTTTGAACCAGTAGAGAACTCTCTCAACCAAGGCAGATCACAACTCATTGATAACTTAGTTGATACCTTGTTCTAAGGAGCTGACTGAGGCAGCTTGCCCAGGGTTACATAGCAAACAAGTGTCAGAGGCAATATTTGAACCTAGATCTTCCTGATGACAAGTCCAGCATTCTACAGTGTGCTCCACTGCTGCTTCTCTCTTTCCCCTCTTTCTTCTCCTCCCCAGTTGAACTAGAGGCCACAGAAAATACATATCAAATGCATGCCCTCCATTGTCCACCCACCTTTAGTCAGTCTAAACAAACATAACATGGAGGACCAATTAGAACTTTTTCAGCTGGTTGAACTCTTCATAAATAAATGATGAAAGCATGGTACTCAAAAGAAAAAAGAGAATATAAAAAAAAACCAAACCATAGCCACAGATGTACCCATTAAAACCATCTCTACATAGTTGTTAGCTGAACTTTAAGAGATGTCTGAAAATATTGTGCAACAGAAGAAACAATTAGTTAAGTCATTCACTATTTCCAAAAGCAATGATGCAGTACATAGAAAATGTCAAAGTTTCCAGAGACTCAGATTCAAATTCACACACACACACACACACACACACACACACACACACACACACACACACACATCCCACCTTAACTACTATGTCAAATTAATTTTGAAGTTGCCCTGAGGATTGATCTAAAACTTGTTGAATATCTATGGGCATCCTCAGACCTGTTAAAGAACATAGGAAAATTGCAGTCCCTGCATGCTAATGAAACAAATTAGACAATGAAGAATTTCTTAATTCTAATTCTGTCTTGGGTTTTATTGAAAATTTTCATTGGTAGAGCTTTGGTAGGATTTCTTTGAGTGCATAAGCTGAGGGCAAGGATTTGCACACGTAGGCACTTAATAAATGCTTGTTGGATTAGACTCAGTTGGATGGATGTCATTGCCCTGTTTTACTTAATTAAGTTTGCTTCCCAGGATGAGCTATTTGATGTTAAGTTTCAAAAAAAGCAGGTGGAAGTCGATTTAAGATATGCAAAAAAGGTGATTATCTAGAGATAAAGTCAGACATAGGTAAAAATCTAGGAGACAATGGGTAAGGTTGAAAAAAAGTTTATAAACTGAGTCAAAGCCAGGATTTTTACAAGATCTTACAGCAACAAGCATAGTTATTATTATTGTTATTGATACTATAGATAGTATTTATAAAGCTCTTTAAGATTTGCAAAGCATTCTACATATGATATATCTCATTTGATTCTCAAACAACCTTATGAAGTTAATGCTATTGTTATTGCCTTTGTCATGGATAAGGAAACTGAGGCTGGGATGGGTTCAGTGACTTGCGAAAGGTCATGCAACTAGTACATATGTCTGGCAGAAACTGAACCTGACTCCAAACCCAGCACTGTCTCCACTCCACCATTAGACACATGGGCATAACTCTTCACAAGACATGGTTTCACTGCTTCATGGATTTCCCTCCCCTAATCCCAAAGTGGGAAGGGTACCCTAGGAATAGGAAAAGTATGGGCCACTATAAGCAATTGGTTTATAGCAGAATGCAGTTAGACTCAGCCAAAGGAAAATGATCTACCAGGAGCATTTAAATGGATTATCCCAACCCCATTCACCAACAGATATCTTCAGCTCCTCATAGCTTAGAGTGAACTAAAAATCTTCCCTGCTAAAATAGACTCTCAGATGTAAGCCTGAGACTTTCTAGCCCTTCTTAAATATTCCAACTATACCTGGACCATTGTTCCACACTGGTTTGCCTCATGGGAAGAGAAATAATAGAATTCCCATTTTGCTCATAGATGGAAAACACATTGAAGACATTTGCCTTTCCCAAGGCCACAAAAACAGCTGTCAACGGCCCCTATAAGAACCTGAGATCTTGACTCTCGGTCACGTGATGACTCCTCTATGGTATACTATTCCCATTTCATTTGGGTCAGGCCTCATGATGCTGAAGAAAGATCAATGAGTCTGGAATCAGAAAAAAATGGTTCCAATCCTGGCTCTATAAATTCCTACTCTGTGACCTTGGGCTAGTTACTGTTTGGCCCTCGATTTCTTCAGCTGTAAGATGAAAGACGTTGCACCAGCCCTAGATCTCTGATCCTAGACCTGAATGAGACACTAAGTGGCAAATAGAGAAATTAAATTAAAAATAAGGGGAGTGCATCATACATAGCTTTCTCTTTTCCTTCATTTTTATGGTGAAGAGCCTATATATATTTGTTTCACTAGCTCGTCTATTGTTATAATAGCTAGCATTTACATAGTGCTTTAAGGTTTGCAAAGCACTTTACAGATATTATCTCATTTGATCCTCACAACAACCTTGGGAAGTAGGTACTATTAACGTCCCCATCTAATAGATGAGAAAACTGAGGCAGGTAGAGATTATTTGTCCAGGATTATACAACCAGCAGGTGTCCAAGGACCTTCCTGACCATAATGTTGAGTTGTTTCAGTCTGACTCTTCGTGACCTTATTTGGGGTTTTCTTGGCAAAGATACTGGAGCAGTTTGCCATTTCCTTCTCCAGCTCATTTTCAGATAAAAGAACTGAAGCAAACAGGGTTAAGTGACTTGCCCCAGAGTCACAGAGCTAGTAAGTGTCTGAGGCTGGATTTGAACTCAGGTCTTCCTGACTCTAAACCCAGTGCTCTGTCCATTGTGCCACCTAGCTGTCTGCGGCCACAGAATCCTTTCCAGACTTTCCTTGTCAGAAAATTGATACATTTGCAGTGTTTTCATTGGCATCAGCATTTATAAGCAACTAATCATGTGGGTTTTCTCTTGTCCTTTTCCCCCATCCCCGTCTCTTCTAGATGATAGACATGATGTACTTTGTCATCATTATGCTGGTGGTACTGATGAGTTTTGGGGTGGCTAGGCAAGCCATCCTCTTCCCCAATGAGGAGCCTTCATGGAAGCTGGCCAAGAATATTTTCTACATGCCCTACTGGATGATTTATGGGGAAGTGTTTGCAGACCAGATAGACCGTAAGCAAGTTTATGATTCTCATACAACAAAGTCAGGTATTTAACTTCAATCCGGTGATATCTCTTCCAAGATCGTTTGTTTGTTCTCAATAAATGGCTCAAGAGAGAGGACTGTTTCGGAACTTGGATTCTTGGAGGAAAATCAATCCCAGAAGGTACACAGCTAGGAGTAGTGAAACCTTCCTTGGGTACTTGTTTCCAATGGTGTCCTCTATGTGACTTGGGTCTGCCAAATTTTCTAATTTCTAAGAGATGAATTACTTTAAAAAAATTAATTCCCATTTCGGATTTTAAATCCTAGGACCATGTGTTGAGTGTGTGGATATCAGGAATATGCTATGCTACTCCCACCCCTTCTGCCCCCTTTTTAAAAAATTAAATCCATGGATTTTATTTCAGAACAAATTCAACATGACCACAAGTATTCCAGTGTGGCAAAAGGAATCTATAGGGTGTTCTCCATATACTGAAATCAGTTCCTCAATTTCTCTCCCCAAATATCTTAAATGATATGCTACTGCAAATTCACTGGAGCCGGCAAATCCTGAGGTTTCATTTGGCTGGGAATATGGAAAATGCCTTAGGTTATAAATTTGAGTTGCATGCTACTGTATGCCAGGGGTAAAAAGCAGCTATATCTGAAGTGATGCCATGTGAGAAGCAAAACACAGCAGGACCTAGCCACATAAGGTCCTAATATATGCTGATTTCTGGGGGGCCCCATCCCTTTTTAATGGTACTTGAATATGCATGTGTCCTAGAAGTCTTTTCAAGGTATCAATTTGCAAGGAAGAAGTCAGGGTACACCAGGTATGGGGATGCTTGGGAAGAAAGCATCAGATATAAAGGCATTGCTCAGTGTGGAGGAATCAAATCCTTGGAGCAAGTTTTTCCACCTTTTCCCTGAGGAGTTTAGCTCTAGAAATAACATCCTCCCTATATTGTCGAATTAACATATTTTTAAACATCGTTGCTGACAGGCCAGCCAAATGAGCACTGGACTATATGCATGGATTAAGGTTACATAACCAGGTGGTGATACTTATTAAAAATTAGGGAAAAAAAGAAGAAATAGTCCGTATTCTGCCCCTTAAAAGGCTCAGACCAGGAAATCAAGTTTAAAGCACTGAGTAGTGTGATTCTACCACCACTGAGAGCAGTGAGTACAAGACTGACTTCAGACCCCATTTTTAAATCCTTTTCCTTTCATCTCCAATCCCCCTTGGAGTTTGGATAAATTCTTCTCTTGGACCAAGAAATGTGAAGCCAACGAGGCTTCTTGGAACAAATGTTCATTTCATGAGGATGAGCTGACTCTCCAGAGAATAATGTTAACTCTATCAGGACAGCAACCAGTCAACGAGCATTTACGAGGTGCTTAACTATATGTTAGGCACTGTGCTAAGCCCTGGGGATAAAAAGAAAGGTAAAAATCAGCCCCCTGCTCTCAAGGAGCTCACGTTCTAATGGTGGAGATAATATGTAACAACTATGTCTATATAAGATGTTTACAGGGTAAATTGGAGGTAATTTCAGAGGGCCTTCCTCCCAGAGACACTAATGTGCCTTCCTAACTCCAGGACTTCCAGTAAACAGGGAAAGCCCTTCTGAAAGCCTCTTTCCACATGGTTCCTAAGAAAATCTTAGTTCAATGGTTAAAAACTCATCTATTGTCTTATTTTTCCCTTGGAGAAAAAATTGAAATTGTCTCCAAGAAATTGCTTTTTTTCAACTTGGTTCTATCATTTATCTTTCTGGGTTTCCATTCTTCCAAAATCTTTCCTTAGTTTTTACAGGTATTAGAATACGGGGGAAGGGGGAGGGAGGGAAGAAGGGCTGGGGGAGTCCATTGGGATGTAGATTTCTTTATGAATGGGAGTTTCCATGTCCCTCTACAAGTGGCCATTTATTGATGTTGTACTAAGGACTCAGCCTAGTGCAACAAACAGCACAGTCTGGCTGAATAACAGGATTTATTTTTATTTTTATGTTTTGATGAAGGGCTGATTATAGTTTAGAACCCCAAAACCTGTCAAGATGGAAGAATTTTTTTTTGTTTGTGTGAGTGGAGTCTGGCAAGGCATCTCCTATACCATTAATTTTATCTGTAATACTATACACGCATGAGAATAAATTACCTCCCCCTACTACTGGCATTTTGAAGAACAGAGTGAACAACAGTTTGATGAAATGACCCACTACTTGATAATAACTCCCAACACACCTCGTCCATCCTTTCTACTTACGTCCTTCATCCTACCCAAAGTTCAGAAATTTACTTCAATGTATTCTTTATACTCGTTCTAAGCTAAATCAGCCACTGTTTTTTCTGTCTAGAATACTCTAGAGTATTTGTCCTTTCTCAAATGTGTGTGGTACAGTATCCCTAATCTGTTGTTCAACTTGTTTGAAAATATCTGTCACTTTAATGAATTGATTTGGGAGGCAGTAGGGTATAGTGAAAGCAGTGCTAGATTTGGATTGTGTTTTAAAGCCTGGCTCAGTCACTTACTTACTCCCTTTATGATCTTGGGCAAGTCCCTTTATTTCCCTGGTCCTCAGTTTCCTCACCTATAAAATGAAGGGGTTGGTGCTGTAGATTACCTTTAAGTTTCCTCCCAACTCTTAATCTGAGATCCTATGATTTCCACATGATTGCATGGGAGGAACTCAGTAGGAGTGGAATCTCTGCCCCCCTCCCCCCCAGACAGTCAGAGGAATATTCAGAGAGCCTCAAGCAGAGATATTTGAGAAAGGTACAAATCAGGTTTGCTACTATAAAGTGTGTCGCCTCTTTTCTGTGCCAAATCCAGGTTGTTTTGTGAAGCATGCATTCAGGCTGATGGAATCTCGAATCAACCCGGACCTACCACCCTGCAGAGGGTCTGCCCGTGCTGTAAATTTGCTCTTTGGGGGGGCTTTTTCCTTTTTCTCCCAAAATGCTGCACCTCTAATACACATCCTCCAAAGCAATTCATTTCTAATCCAATGCACGTGCTCTATGTCTAACTTTTTTTGCTCCAAAATGGCTGCATCCATTTCATGTTTAAAAAAAAAAAACAACCTCTTAATTGGAATGTATATGGATGTATGACAATGCACTGAGACTTGTTACCTTCAGTCTGACACCTCAGAAGTGAGTCCAGCTTTGATACCCTCACTTCTGGGAACCAGGGTTACCTCTGTGCAATATATCATTTTTCCAGCAGTTTGTGTTAAATGCAGTGGCCATAGATAGTATGTCAAAGAAACTAGAAAACAAGACTTACTGAGTGATGCTTTCTAAATGTGCCTGAAGAAAGCTTTTTAAAAAAAAAAGAGTGGGGGGTGGGGTGGCAGAAGCACTCAGAATAATATGACAGGGAAAAAAGAGCCTTTTACCTCTAAGTAGTTTTTGAAGACTCAGCCAGAGGACAATAGAGAATTTTCCTAGCAGCCCATGAGATAGCTCATGCTTTTTGCTCTTCTGCATGGTAGAGAGTAAGAAGGGGGAGGAGTGAAAAGGAATAGGTATGAGTTCATTACCCTGGAAATTCTAAAGTAATTCTAAAGTCATCGGGACATAACTGGCCTGTTCTGAGCAAATTGCTGTAAGCGTCTGGTCAAATTAAGAGATGTTTTTCAAAAACCAAAATAGCATCCATGTATGAAGTCATTTGGTCTCCAGCTCACTGGAGCTCACGCCCTGCCAATATCAATTAACATGCTCTGACATAAAGATAGGGGATGTGAAAAAATATATATTAACTTTTCAGGCCTGGACATGATCCCTTTGGAGCAAGAGGGAGAGAAGCCACTCAGGGAAAAGGAACAAACACGGAACAGTTAAGACTGGAACAATGGGCAACATTATAGGCACCAGCCAGTGCTGTATATAAAACCAACATTAGGTGGGATCTCATCCCATCTAAAATGCTGTATTCTTCTATTTGTTGGTGATCTGGGAGGAAACCTAGTAAATATCTTTTTGGTTAGCAACAAAATGGGCATGGGGAGTGGACAACTGGTGACATCTTTTCTCTGAATGAAGTGGACTTCCATTTATAGGGTTACAGCCTTCCACGTCTTCTTATTTCACGTTCTAAAGCACAGGATGGGAAGGAACGAATCATGGCACTTCGATGTATTAAATGGGGCCTAAAGTTAGACTTCTTTTCTGACATCCTGAATATTTTCACAAGTTTAGGTAGTCATTTGAAAGCAAGATACTGAAAAGTGACTCTATCTTGACATCTTCATACTACCTCTCAATCCTTTTGTGTTACAATTTAGCTATCAAGACTACCTAGGGCACAGGTCAGATACGTTTTCCTTATTGACTCTAATCTCAACATCATGTCTGACAGTCTCGAACAGGAGATCTGGAGTCACAGCTAATCACACCATTTCATTACTTTTACAAAAGGCTTCCTAGAAAACAACCTAGTTTGTTGTAGGGTTTTTTTTTTAACAGTCCTGTTGAGTCAACAGATCTGAAAGGATAAAAAAATGTTGCTTTTTAGTTAGTAAACTAGGGAACAGATATAAAGCCAAAACACAAGAATGCACTGATTTTCTGATCCATATTGTACTTTAAAATATTTTTCCTACACTTTGTATGATAGATTTGAACAGCCAAGATGCCTAGTTTCTTAAATATGCTTGCCTTTTTCCTTTCTCTTTCTTTTTTTTTTTTTGGCTTTGAACTTGTAATTTCAGTTATATAGGGACCTTCTATTGTGAAGCTTCCCTTCACAGACTGCAGATCAGACACTCCTTGCAATTTATAGTCCCAGAGAGTTGCTTAGAGCACTGAGAGGTTACATGATTTGCCCAGAGACACACAGCTAGTATGTGTCATAGGCAGACAGGTCTTTCTGGCCTTCTCTCCAATATGCCACTTGCCTTAATGATGGATTATTTGGTTTGTATTAAGTTGAAGCATGTTGTACATTTCAGCTGTGGAATTCAGCTCCTGAGTATGTGTGCACTTGTTTGTTATTTGTTGTTGATTATGTCTA